GGAGGTTACTTTAAAATAAATAAATAAATAAATAAAATTATTAATGAGATGAGTGGGATGTCTGGTTGGCTCAGTCAGTAGAGGCTGTGACTCTTTTTTTTTTTTTTTTTAACTTTTAAGAAAACATTTTATTTATATCTGAGAGAGAGAGACAGCATGAACAGGGAAGGATCAGAGAGAGAGGGAGACACAGAATCTGAAATAGGCTCCAGGCTCTGAGCTAGCTGTCAGCACAGAGCCCGACGTGGGGCTCGAACCCATGAACCATGAGATCATGACCTAAGCTGAAGTCGGACGTTTAACCAACTGAACTACCCAGGCACCCTTAGAGCTTGTGACTCTTGATCTCAGGGTCATGAGTTTGAGCCTACATTGGGCATAGAGTTTACTTTAAAAAAAAAAAAAATGATGCATGAGTTACTTTTAGCAGTAACCCAGTCCCTGACATCTGGCCACTCCCTTATGTGTTTGAAAATCCCAACCCCCAAATACATCTTCACGTCACCCCAAACACTGAGCCAGGTATAGGGAGTCACAATAACCTAAACTCTGTAAAACGGGCTGGCCTGTTCCTGTGAATACCTACAAGCAACAGAACTTGTACCTAGCTCAAGTTACAGAAAAGAACAATGAATGGTTTTAAGGCAAAGCTGGGTTCCAATCCCGAAGCACTTAATACACATAATTTCACCTCTCTGAGCTTCAGTTCCTTACATGGTGAGTATAACAACACTTCATGTCCTTGTTCAGAACCACTTCTCTTCCTTGCCTTCCCACCCAAGGGCTTACAATGTGACCTGATTGGGTCAATTATTTTATAACACAGCAATTGATACAGGAATGAATGCAATGCAGGCTGTTGAAGTCATTTCCTTATGATTTTCTGTTGGAACTGGAGGAGCAGAGGCTTTCTTTCATCTCTAGATATAGAGCTGTGAAGATGGGACCTCACAGCTGCTTATAGTTTGCAGCCTTTATAATTCTTCCTCTTTATTCACTTGTCACATCCACACTGGCCTCCTTACTGTTTCTCAACTCCAGGCAAGCTCCTGCTTCAAAAGCATTTGCACTTTCTGTTCCGTTTGTCTGGAATGCTTTTCTTCTAGACGCCTACATGGCTGACGGCTTCATCTCTTTCACGTCTCTGCTTAAATGGTACTTTCTCAAAAGTGCCATTATGACTACCCTATCCAAAATTGTGACTCTGTCCCCATCCACTCCTCTTAAAAATTTTTTTCATATCACTAACTTCTAATGTATGCTTTTTTCTTGTTAATTGATTATTATTCACTGCCAATCTCCCCCGATTAGAATATAGGTTTCACTAGGGCAGGGATTTCTGTTTCTTTGGTTCACTGATGTGTCTGAGGTGCCAGGAAAATCAGTAAGTACCCAATCAATATTACTATTTCTTGAATGAATGGATGAATATATTTATAACCAAGTAAGTCTAACAAACAAAATACCTATCTAATGAGGTTGTTATAAGGATTAGAAATTATGGGGCGCCTGGGTGGCTCAGTCGGTTAAGCGTCTGACTTCGGCTCAGGTCATGATCCCACGGTTCATGGTTCGAGCCCCATGTCAGGCTCTGTGCTGACAGCCAGCTCAGAGCCTGGAGCCTGTTTCAGATTCTGTGTCTCCCTCTCCCTCTTTGATCCTCCCCTGCTCATGCTGTCTCTCTCTCTCTCTCTCTCTCTCTCAGAAATAAATTTAAAAAAATTAAATTTTTTAAAAAAAGGATTCGGAATTATGCATATAAAGTAAAGCATAAGTAGGATGTCTGGCTCATAGCAGGTATTCAAATATGGTAATTACTGTTATTATGCAGGATCTTTTTACCAAAGAATTCCCAGACCTGGAGATAAGTTTCTACATTTACGAACAGAAAAAAATTTATGGGGCACCTACCAGGAAGTGATCTTTGGATCTGTAGGTGGATATATACACATTTTGTTTTGCAAGTTTTCTTTCTTGAGCATTATTTTCATCAGATGAGAAAAATCAAATCAATACTTTTTTTTTTTTTTTTTTTAGCAATTTTGGCTTGGGGTGCCTGGGTGGCTCAGTCAGTTGAGCAATGACCTCTTGATTTCAGCTCAGGTCATGATCTTATGGTTCATGAGTTCCAGCCCCCATTAGGCTCTGCGTTGACAGTGCAGATCCTGTTTGGGATTCTCCCTCTCTCTCTCTCTCTCTCTCTCTGCCCATCCCTCCCTCCCTCTTACTCTCTCAAAATAAATTTTAAAAAAAGAAAAGAGAATTTTGGCTTGGGGCGCCCAGCTGGCTCAGTCAATGGAGCATACAACTCTTGATCTCAGGACTGTGCGTTTGAGCCCCACGTTGGGTATAGAGATTACTTAAAAAATAAAAACTTTGCAAAATAATAACATTAAATTAAAAGAAAAGAATTTTGGGTTGGCTTTGGGATTTGGGGCAAATGTTTAAAAAAAAAAAAAAGGATGTCTTGATGTCTTGAGAAGGCGAGGTTCCGCAAAGGGTAAAGAGGAAGTAAAACAGAGTGATGACAGCTGGCATTGAGAACCAGCAGCACTGGTTGAAGAGGAAGCTGTGGAGAGATAAAAACCACAAGGTTAATGCTGACAGAAATAAAATTGCCCAGCTCAGCTGGGTAGGTAGAAGGTAGCTAGGGAAGGGCTGGGAAAGATGGCTGGAGATACTCAAGGTCATTAAGCAATGGGCCTTAAATTAATTTGAAGTTACATTTTTTTCTAGTCCTAACTATGGTGAGTGTGACATCAGAGGAGAGTCTGAACAGTCATTTCTTTCAATATGACCAGAGCAGAGGGCTTATGTCAGGTAGGTAACTGTTCCCAAGTTGTGGAAAGACTAGAAGGAACAAGATCACCACGACTGTAATTGAGTTAACTCAACTAGCAAACTAGAAAGCACCAAAGTTTTGGAGTCAGCTTAGAATCTCCATTCTGTCACTTGGCAGCCATGTGACCTTGAGCAAGTAACCAACCACCTTGCACAAGATCTAGGGCCCCTAGAAAGTAGGGGAAATACTAAATATGGAATTAAATTACACTCTTTAATCAACACAATTAGAAAATTGAAGTTCTCCAACACAACTGCTTTGAACAAACCCAGTCGATTAAACTTAAAACCCTGCTTATACCACCTTCTATTGCCAAGGAAACCTTGCTGTCAGGGCAGATTTTCCCACAAGTCTAAAAAATACAAGGTTTTAAGCCAGCCATTTCCAAGTTGAAATATAAGGCTTTCATTCATGTGCTATTTGTTGTCTCTTTCACTCCTTTGTTTTGGTTTCACAAGTCTTGGCAACTCTGTGGTCTCATCACAAATTACTCTGGGGCTTAAGGGCATGTTTTGCTGAGCTTGGCCCTTCCAGGCAGATGGAGGGCAAGTACCCCTCTCTCTATACTTTCCTCCATGGGTCTATGGGACAAAGGAACAATTGAAAATTTTGAGTTAACTGATATAAAATAATTTTATATCAAAACTCCCATTAAGAAGCAATTTAGCAAGTGATTAAGAGCATGGACTTTGGAGCCAAGCTAGACTGCCTGGGTTTGAATCCAAGCTTCATCACTTACTAGCTGTGTGACCACAGGCAGATTATTTATTTCTCTGTATGCTAGTTCCTTACACCCTAAGGTTGTTGTGATACATAAATGAATATTTGTAAAACCTTTAGAACAATGCCTGGCTCCACAGTGAAGCTCTAAGTGTATGCTAGGAATATTTTGCTGTCTACCAGACTACTAGTTCATAATGCTTGATGATAATCTGCTTCATACACTCTTTATCCCCTAGGCAGGTCTATGACTGGGCGGATTGGGAGGTGTATTGGTGGCAGTAGTAGTCTTTTTACCAGTGAATTGCACAAACTAGGATTTACAGGGAAGTTTGGTTCTGCCCCTGAGTGACTAAATTGATGGGGACATGCCTCCCTTTTTTACAGGCTGTTACAACCAGGTGGTAAAAGTCCTTGAAGATAAATGTTAAGTAATGTTGAAAAAGAAACAGGTCCAAAATGAAATCACCCGTGTGAGGCCCCCACATCAGCAAACCAAGACTTTGCATCTAAACTAATTGGAGTTTCAGCCTTTCTCTGGACTGTGAACTTTAACAGGTGAGTCTGGAATTTCCTGGCCAGCACTGGTGGGGTAGTAGCCTGGTAGACGCCTGCCTTCCCCCCACAGTTGGGCGACTCTGCCTAAAACAACCCTTTCTTTCGTCATGACTTCCTTGTCTTACATCCCTTCTGTCTTTAAATATCTTCCATTTTGTACAGTTCCTTTCTCCTTACTAGGCAGGTTGTTGTCCTATTCATGAATCATTGAATAAAGCCAGTTAGAGCCTCACATCTGCTCAGGTGAATTTTGTTTAACAATCATCAGGTTGACCACTTCCTTTTCTCTGGGCGGGGAGTTGGGGTGGAGAGAGGGGTTGAGGATTCTTTTACGGAGAAGTTTGAAGTCTCCTTCTGTATGGAAACCTGAAGATAAGAGTTCGTGGATAGGCACCCCCAAAGGCTCTGTAACTAACTGCCCAGCAATACCATAGAGCTTGTGAAATGCAAGAAGACTACCTTCGTATCAGATGTGAAATCATTCTAGGGTCTTCCAGTTCAGCTTCTTGCCCATTTTTCTCTTAATTGGGAAAAATGCTGGCAGCCTGATGATGGCTTTTTAGGTTTAAGTTTGTGGCATCTGTAACACGGCCAAGGGTATGCCTGGGATATTCATTTGGAAGAAGACACCCGCAATTCACCAGAGGAGACGGTGCTCCGGACTTTGACCGGGCTTCCACGGGTCCAAGATACACTCTTTTCTCACCCCGCTCTTATTAGCACTTCCTTGGCTCTGCGTCTAGTCGCTCCCTTTCTGTAAACTCCCCGACCTGTTGAGGGCCATTAGGCTGTCATTGCGCCTGCGCAAGGGGGCCGGGTGGCTGAAGTGACTGCGCTGCCCGGCTACAAGGTCTGAGGTACCAGTGCGCCTGCGCGGGAGGCCAGTAGGCTGGCAGTGCTGAGGGGACTCGTCCTCACCGACCTGCCGTCAGTGCGCCTGCGTGCGGTCTAAGCGCCGCGGTTCTTGACTCTGCTGCGCCGGGTGCTGGTTGTAGCCATGCAGGGAGCAGACTCGGGCCAGCCCTTCAAGCGGCCCCGACGCGACGGCAGCCCAAGAACTCCGCCAAACATCCCTTCCGCCGCAGCGGAAAGGTCCCCGGACTCCAAACTCCACCGCGACCACCAGACCTGGGACCCGGAGGAGGTGTGCTGCTTCCTAAAGCGCTGTGGCTTCAGTGATCCCGGACTGCTGGAACGCTGGCGAGGTAGCAGGGCTAGAGGGCTGAGGGGCCGGGGGACGGCGACTCCAGGCGGGGACCGCGGGCCTGAGGCAGTGAGCTGGGGGCCTCAAAGAGGACCCGAAGCGGAGAAGGCAGACCTGCGCGGGGAGATACGAAAGGTGTGGACCTGAGCCGGGGGGATGGGGGGCGCCGAGCCGGGGATGACCTGAGGCGGAGAGCCCCTCTGAGCAGGGGCCTTGCAGCGGGGAAGGGAGACCTGCGCGGAGAGGTACCAGAAGGGATAGACCTGAGGCGGGGACGCCGAGGTGGCGGGGGATGGGGGGACGACCTGCGGCGGAGAGCCCTCCAGAACCGGGGGCCTGAGACGGGGACGGGGAGGTACCCGGAGGGGTGACCAGGAGTGCCCCCTGGAGATGGAGGAAGGATAAATGGGGCGTCCAGAGTCGGGGACCCGCAGGAGGAAAGCCGACTTTGAGGATTGTGAACTTGGGTGAGGCACCTGGTGTGAGGCAGGTGGGTTTCTTCGGGAACTTGCCACCCCAGCGCGGAACAGGTGACACTCCGGTCCCTTTTTTTTTACTTAGAAGAACATTTGCCCCAGACCTTGGTCGGAGGGGCGCTGTCATTCAGGCTCACGGGGCTCGAGAGACCCGTCTGTGCTCCTGCAGCTCCTTGAACACCTGGAATATGTTTTGCTTTTAAGTTTGTTTCCTCCCATCGTCCTTTAACTCGGGGTTTTCCTGTAGGGGAGGGCACATGCTCTGCGGATCCCTGCGTCCCGGTTGCCTTACCACAGCATGCCAGTAGGGCTTAGTATGTTTGTTGACTACACCTACAGAACTTGGTAATGTTTATGTTTTGGTCTCCAAAATCCGTTTCCCTAGTTAAATCTGAATAACACTGGATTGTTCAGCTGACCACCGAACTCCCAGCAGCCCACTACTTGGCCACATCACAGGGGGCAAATGTATGGGGTTGTGAGTTTTAAGCAACCCGCTCAAGTTCAAGCATCCATCCACTTGAAATCTAAACTTCCCCTAATGGATGTGAACCTTAACCTCTCTCTGTCTTACCCTCTGTCTTATTCATTTGTAAATTTAGTAAACTTTTGCAGTAATAGGACGGAGTCTTGTTTGTCTAGGGTGGGAGTTTGTGCTTCAAGACTTAAAAAACAGCTTGATGGTGTGGGAAATGGTACTTCTCTTTTCTCCTCTCCCCCATTGGTTGTCCTTCACTCAGGATGGAATTTGTCTCTGAATAGCAAATAGGTGAGGATGAAGGAGTTTTATATTTTTCTGTCTCCAGTATATGATTGACTATATTGTTGGCTTTCTGTATCAATGGTGTTCTATAGATTTTTTTTTTTTTTTTAGTGTTCTGTAGATTAAGTCATCACCTTAAGAATTATCTCTTGAACCTACTGTCAAGTGCTAGCAGAACTCACTACATGTTTTAACTGGTAAAAACTGACCACACATTGACAATTGCTCATTTCTTTTTTCTTTTTTTATGATTTTTTTTCTTTTTAAGTAATCTGTACACCCAGAATGGGCCTTGAATTTACAACCCTGAGATCCAGGGTCCAATGTTCCACTGACTGAGCCAGCCAAGTGCCCCAACAAATGCTCATTTGTTAACCATCTGCTTGGTCTTGACCAAACTTTAGTCAGGCTTCTCTCTCGCCTAGAAGGCCCTAAAATCTTGTTTGTCCCCAAACCTGGGCAAGCACTAAAAAAGTGGAATGCCCCATCATCAGCTTTTCCTGGAAACCAGATGAGCATAGCAGGATACTGTCCTATCAGACCACACTGGGGTCACTTCCACTGCCCCTCCTTTACCCTATGAAAGAAAGAGCAACACCTTTTCCTGTTTGAGTTTGAACCACTTTGAGATTTCTGAGATCACAACATTGCATATATCCCTATTGCAATAATCTTCCTATCTGATCCCTATCTTAGTCTGGATTTCTTTTTATTTGGCAAAACAAGGTGTTGGGTCCCTTTCCTCATTATGGAATACAGTCTCACAGGAACCTTGAAATTAATTAATTATTAATCGATTTTTAATGTTTATTTATTTTTGAGAGAGAGAGATACAGAGTGTGAGTGGGGGAGGAGCAGAGAGAGAAGAAAACAGAATCCAAAAAACAGGTTCCAGGCTCTGAGCTGTCAGCACAGAGCCCGACATGGGGCTTGAACTCACAAACCTTGAGATCATGATCTGAGCCAAAGTCAGACACTCAACTGACTGAGCCACCCAGGTCCCCAGAGCCCTGAACTTTAGAGGCTGTAATCCCTATTTTGTTTTACATATGATGTGTTTTGAGGTCTGAAGATGTTAAGTAACTTTCTAAAGGTCACACAACTAGAAGAAAAGCAGAACAGGATGTGAACATTAGGTCTTGGGACTCCAGAATTCCTGCCAACTATACTTTAACAAGTGTTCTCATCAAAAATCATCAAGGGTGGAGTCGAGCCCAGAGTCAGGCTGTCATTGTAGAACCTGCTTGGGATTCTCTCTCTCTCTCTCTCTCTCTCTCTTTCTGCCCCTCCCCTACTCATGAGTGCTCTTCCTCTCTCTAAATAAATAAACTTAAAAAAAAAAAAAGATTTTCATTTGTTTGAAAATGGCCCAGAGTTCTGGAATATGAGGTCGGGAAGGACTAAAATTAATTATATAGTGAGAGAAAGAAAAATAAACATATATTTCAAAACACAGCATTATGTGCTTTTCTGGGAGGGTTTTTTTTCTTTTATTGTTTAAGTAATTTGTTCAGCCAATATGGGGCTCAAACTCACAGCTCCAAGATCAGGAAGTCAAGCCCCTCCTTGGAGATTTTAGAACTCCAATACTTGGCACCCTTCAGGCTATGGTTTTGACCTGACAATTCTAAGTAAAATAGATTTATACTTCCTTTCCTCCCCCAGTCCCAACCTCACCTGTTTTAGAAGGAAGCCACTGGTTTTGCTGCTGGACTTCCTCACAAATAATTCATTCAAATAATTTAAAAGTTTTTATTTGATTTATCAAAAATATTTATCAGTATAGTTATCTAATTAAAATGAAGACTGTCCAAGTGAGAGGGGTGCCTGGCTGGCTCAGTGTGAAGAATATGTGATTCTTGGTCAGGGGGTTGTGAGTTCGAGCCCCACATGGAGAAAAAGACTTTCCAAGTGGCAAATGAAAGTGATTCTTAGCACAGTCCATTGCCTATAGTGGGTGGTTAGTAAATGTTGATCTCAGTAAATTTTGGTGAATCCAAATTGAAAGAAATAAAAAAGCATATGGTATAATTATCGAAACCATTTATCTTTTTTTCTCCCTTTTCTTCCAAAGGACATAAAATCACAGGTTCAATACTGCTCCGTCTTAATGAGTCTGATCTTGAAAGTCTTGGAATAAGGTAAGAATGATAAAATTCACCTTGTAGCCAAACATACTTCTGACCTTTTTATTCACCTGAGGGACAAAGCCCATGACACCAATCTTAACAGTCCTCATTTTGAATTTACAAAGTGTTGGGGTGCCTAGGTGGCTCAGTCAGTTTAAGTGTCTGACTCTTGGTTTCAGCTCAGGTCATGATCTTATGGCTTTGTGGGTTCGAGCCTCACATCAGGCTCTGCACTGGCAGTGCGGAGCCTACTTGGGATTCTCTCTCTCTCTCTCTCTCTCTCTCTGCCCCTCCCCCACTTGTACTGTCTTGTCTCCTGGAAAACAAACACTTTTAAATTTTTTAAAATATTTATTCATATTTGAGAGAGAGACACACACAGATTATGAATGGGAGAGGGTCAGAGAGACATACACACGTAGAATATGAAGTAGGCTCCAGGCTCTGAGCTGTCAGCACAGAGCCTGATGCAGGGCTTGAACTCACAAACAGTGAGATCAGACCTGAGCTGAAGTCGGATTCTCAACCGACTGAGCCACCCAGGTGCCCCCCAAAATAAACTTTAAAATAAATAAACCTAGGGGTGCCTGGGTGGCCCAGTTGGTTAAGCGGCCAACTTCAGCTCAGGTCATGATCTCGCGGTTCGTGAGTTCGAGCCCTGCATCAGGCTCTGTGCTGATAGCTCAGAGCCTGGAGTCTACTTCAGATTCTGTGTCTCCTTCTCTCTCTGCCCTTCCCCTGCTCGTGCTCTGTCTCTCAGTCTCTCAAAAATAAATAACCGTTAAAGAAATTAATAACAATAAATAAATCTACAAAGTGTTTTAAAACTGAATCCCCTCCCTGCTGGTTAACACAGTTGTGTCTCTTTGTTTGTCTTTGCTGTGCAAATCCTGTGTTTGTTTATTTATTTTAATGTTTATTTATTTTCAAGAGATAGAACACAAGCGGGGGAGGGGCAGAGAGATAGGGAGACACAGAATCCAAACAGGCTCCAGGCTCTGAGCTGTCAGCGCAGAGCCTGATGCAGGGCTTGAACTCGGGAATGAATGGTGAGATCATGACCTGAGCCAAAGTTGGATGCTTAACCGACTGAGCCACCCAGGTGCCCCTAAATCCTGTGTTTAATATTACTAATGATTCCTATTTTTTAAAAATTTTGCTGTCAAGCCTTCATGAAGTTTGCAGTGACCAACTTTTTACTCTCAAGTTCAGAATAATTGGATTATACACATCATAAAATATATAAGGACTAATGGGAGGAAATGTTGGCAAGAAAAATCAAGGCTACACCCTTATCTTGAACATATTTTTAGGTATTCCTAAAACTATCTCAAGACTGGAATGTATACCTGGTATTAGATTTAAAGTTACGATCCAAAGTAAAAAAAAGTGGTCCTTTTTCGGTTGTGTGATTTGAGACAACTAGTTTAACCTTTCAGTTTCTGCACCTGTGAAATGGAAAATAATAGTGAGACAGTGTATATAAAGTGATTAACACATTGGCCCTTAATAATAAATTATATATATAGGTTGAGATCCCTATGTAAGGCTGGCAGTTATAGGGTCTAGATTAGTGTGGATCCACTTTAAAGATCACAGTTGAGAAGCAAATATTTAAATATTCCTTAAAATGGAGACTTTTATTCTTTTTTTTTTTTTTAAAGAGAATTGGCAACAGTGGTAAAAGAAGGTTTTATTCTTCTGGAATTCCATTTAGCTAAATGTAGTTTATGGTAACAGTAACCAAAGAATCAAAACAAAGGATTATACTGAATTACTTCATGCACTGTTGTTTAGTAGTTGATAATAGAAACAGATTGTGAGAAAAGATCGCCTTAGGACATTTACCTGAATTTTATTTATTTTTTTTTAAATGTTTTTTATTTATTTCTAGGAGAGAGAGAGAGAGACAGCGTGAGCAGGGAAGGGTCAGAGAGAGAGGGAGTCACAGACTGAAACAGGCTCCAGGCTCTGAGCTGGCAGTCAGCACAGAGCCCGATGCGGGGCTCGAACCCACGAACCGCGAGATCATGACCTAAGCGAAAGTCGGACATTTAACCGACTAAGCCACCCAGGCGCCCCTACTTGAATTTTAATAAATGTCCTTGGGATCAGAATCTTTAGGGGCCTCATCTTGCCTCTTTGATAATCATGTTTCAGTCCCCTCAGTGTCCCCCTTACTATTTATTTCTTAGGTATAGTGAGTTGCTTACTATTTTAATTGAATTGCATTTGTTTTAATAGTCTTGCTTTTAAAGAGAACCATATACTTTGTGGACCCAAATACTACTGATTTATTCAACAAATATTTATGGAGGGCCCACTATGTATTAGGAATTTTTCTAGGAACTTGGGAGACATAGGTGAACAAAATAGAATTTCAAATGACATTATCTGATACACCATTGTGTCCATCGTTGTGCCCATAACTCTGAGGTATATTCTGCAGGTCTTTTCAGGGCTGTGTTTTCCTATAGAGCAGTAAAGTTTCAGTTCCTCACCTAGCCATATTTCAAGTGCTCAATTGTCACTTATGGCTAGTGGCTACCATGTTGGACAAGGAAGATCTAGAACATTTACATCTTAGCAAAATTCTGCTGCTTAGAACTGCTTTGAAGATCACAGTGAAATCAGTCCAAGTTGTTCACAGTGGTACTAGTGCAACCAATTTATAATATAGCCTTGTATTGTTTTTCTATCCTTTCCTGTTTTACCTTTCCTAGGATTCACATCTTAAAAATAAATGACCTGTACGTAAGCTCTTGAACTAGACTCTGCTTTCTAAGAGGAAATCCAGTTTAGACAAGTACTGAAATTTTCTCAAGTTTATGATCAACTGTTTATTTAAAGTTTTTTGTTTTTTTTTGTTTTTTTTTTTCATTTTTGACAGAGAGACACACACACACAGAGTGTGAGCAAGGGAGGGGCAGAGAGAGAGAGAGGAAGACACAGAATCTGAAGCAGGCTCCAGGCTCCAAACTGTTGTCACAGAGCACCACACTCTGAACTCATGAACTGTGAGATCTTGATCTGAGCAGAATTCAGCGCTCAACAGACTCAGCCACCCAGGAGCCCTGATTTAAAAGGTTTTTCTAGGGGCACCTGGGTGGCTTAGTAGGTTAAGTGTCCAACTTTGGCTCAGGCCATAAGCTGTCAATGTGGAGCCCACTTCAGATCCTCTATCCCTCCTCTCTCTCCTCCCCTGCTCTCTCTCTCTCAAAAATAAACATTTTAAAAAACAAATGGTTTTTCTAAGAAAAAGGAACCACTGGTACATTAAATGTACATATCAGTTTTAAGAAATTTTAGATTGAAGAAATGATGCAATACAGATATAAAATCTTATAGTCTAACTGTGGCCCATGAATACTTGAAATAGTGTTGTTATTTTTTTTTTATTTTTTAAAAAAATGTTTATTTTTTTTGTTTATTTTTGAGAGAGAGAGAGATAGAGCATGAGCAGGGTGGGACAGAGAGCGAGACACAGAATCCAAAGCAGACTCAAGACTCTGAGCTGTCAGCCCAGAGCCCAATGGGGGGCTCAAACCCACAAACTATGAGATTATGACCTGAGCTGAAGTCGGACACTCAGCTGACTGAGCCACCCAGGTGCCCCTGTGTTGTTGTTGTTGTTTTAATAGTTGTTTGTTTTGGGGGGAGAGAGAGGGAGTGTGTGTGTGTGTGTGTGTGTGTGTGTGTGCGTTTGTGTGTGTGTGAGAGAGAGCAGGGGAGGGGTAGGGAAACAGAGGATCTGAAGCAGACTTCACCCTGACAGTGAGACCCCAATGTGGGGCTTGAACTCAGGAACCAGGACATCATGACCTGAACTGAAGTTGGTCATTTAACCGACTGAGCCACCCAGGCGCTCTGGCACATAAAGTCTTTAAATTTTTGTTTAAAATACTATATTGATTTTATAGCCTTTGTTAAACAAAAACAAAAAGCCTCTAGGTTTTGGGTGGCTATTTTCATAGACTTTATCTTTTTTTAATGTTTATTTATTTATTTTGAGAGAGAGCATGTGAGCGGGAAGGGGAGGCTGGGGAGGAGAGGAGAAAGCATAGAGAGAGAATCCCAAGCAGGCTCTGTGCCATGCTCTCAGAGACCACCACAGGTCTGGAGCCTGCCACGGGGCTCGATCCCATGAACTGTGAGATCATGATCTAAGCCAAAATCAAGAGCCAGACACTCAACCAACTGAGCCATCTAGATGCCCCTATTTTTATAGACTTTAATCAGCAATTTCTTTGTGAATATTTCTTTTGGGGTTTTATTAAGTGATGAATACTGAGTATCAGTTCAGGAAAATATTAAGCAATTAGATTGGTTTTGGTTTGGTATTTTATGCTGTGACTCTTGGTTATGCTCAACTGTTCAATGATACTTAATCTGACTCAGTTATCCCTCACCTGTAAATATTTCTCCAAGCTTACCCTTTCCCTGTGCTTGTTATATCAAACTAATGAGGATGATAGGAGAATAGGAAAACACAGTGTATGCTGCTTTATGATTTATCAGCAGTAATGATGCCTCTATATATCCCAAGAAAATCATTCTTAGATTATAGTATGATATAGAGGCCAATTGTAGTGATTCTGACTCTAAGTGTATCTAGGACTTTTAGCAAAAGATTTATTTTTCAATCTAATTAGCTATTAGATGAAAAATTCTGCTCCTTTTGATAATTAGCCAGGTGTCAGGCTAACTTGCATGGACCAATTAGGTAAATGAAGCAGGATAATGAATTACAGAATTTTGAGCTGTTTACATTAAATCCTGTTAAATTTATTTCTCAAACTGGAGCATTGTAAGGGATTACTGACAAAAGAGGATGAGTATAAGTAAAGCTATTGTCTATACATATTGGATTTGTGCCTAAGTCCTACCCAGTGCTCATAAGTCAGACTTGGACCTGTGTAACTCGCCACCATAATCAACAAAAAAATCCCTTCATGGACTTATCATGTGAACTTTATTCACATGTTTATCACTTGATCACACTGATACACTCCTAAATTCTTATAGTTAAAATACTTCTGATGGGGTAAATATTGAATTGATAATCAGTGATCATTTCTGTTATCTTGGAATCATAGTTAAATTTCTATAGTTCTTGAGGGAAGGAACTATTTCTATAGTTCTTATCCTAACTCCAGTGCTAAATACATTATTTAATCCCTCTCCAGCCCTGTAAGGTAGATAATATTTTCCCTGTGCTATGGATGAGAACATTAGTATAGTAAAAAAGGTTGAGTGATTCTCCCCTGCCCCCAAGGTCACAACAGATACCATGTGCAGATATGAACCAGTTCTGATTTCAAAGCCCTTTTTCATTATCACTATGCTCTACTTCAGAGTACTACCTTGAGCCATGCAAAGTCAGGGTTGTGAGGGAAGATGTCAACTTCAGTTAGGTTAAAATAACTCTGAAGTATAAGTCGAGCACTCAGGAGAGACAGGAGATGTTGAAGTCTGAGTTACCAAGAGAAGAGGATCAAGGGCAGAAGCCTAAGGGAGAATTTTAGAGGGGGGCATATGTTTGAATTATTAATTGTTCCCTTTAATCTGACTTCTTGTTCTATTAGTGTAGATAATTTAGAGTTGATTATATACTAGTATATACTCCAGGGATTGTTATTAAGCAACTAATGATGGATTTGCTTATCCTGTTGTAATTTTAGTACCTTGGGTGACAGAAAGAAGCTGTATAATTCTATCCAACAGCTGAGGGAAATCCATGTTGATGCAATGAAGGTAAGAAGAATCTGAGTTTATTATGGTTTTTTTTTACTTTTTATTTTATTCTTTTTAAATAGGCACAGAGCCCAACATAGAGCTTGAACTCATGACCCTGTGATCAAGGCCTGAGCTGTGGGCACCTGGATGGCTCAGTCAGTTAAGTGATTGTCTGACTCTTGAGTTCAGCTCAGGTCTTGATCTTACACTTACACTTAGTACAGCACAGAGCCTACTTGGGATTCTCTCCCTCTCTCTGTGCTCTTCCCCTGCTAGCACATGTGCCCACACACTCTCTCTCTCAGAATAAATAAACTTTAAAAAAAAAAAAAGCTCAGGTCTTAATCTCATTGTTTGTGAATTTGAGCCCTATATAGGGCTCTGCGCTCTAAGCACAGAGCCTGCCTGGGATTCTGTTCCACCCTCTCTCTGCCCCCATTCCTGTCTCTGTCTCTCAAAAGAAATAAACTTAAAAACAAAAACAGAGAAAACCTGAACTGAGATCAAGAGTTGGATGCTGAACTGACTGAGCCTCCCAGATGCCCCTGTTATGTAAGCATCCAACTCTTGATTTAAGCTCAGGTCTTGATCATGTTGGATGTGAAGCCTACTTTAAAAATAAATAAATAAATAAGAAAGAAAAAACATTTTAAAAAGGAAAATAAAGAATGGGAGGAAATCTGCTTCTCAGTAGTAGGATTATAATTGATTTTTATATTTCTCAAATATAAAGTATTTTAATCAAAAGAAAAACTAAAATATATTAAGCATACAGAAAAGCATAAGTAGGCAACTACCCCAGCTTGTTAAATCTTAATATTTTACCTAATTTTGCTTCAGATCTCTTGTTTTCAGAACAAAATATTAGGAACAATATAGGGTCTTTTTTGTACCCATTCTAGATTCAGTTTCCATCCTTTCTTCTCCCCAGGTAACCGCCATCTTGATTTGGGTTTAATCATTTTCACAAATGTTTTTTTACTTTCATTTCACGTATATGTATAGCCATAAATAATGTATAGTATTGTCCTACATGTTTTTTATGCTTTATAAAAATTGTAAGTAACCTCTTAAACTTTCATTTTACATTGCCTTTTTATTTTTATTTTTTTTAATTTTTTTTTTAATTTATTATTTCTTGGAGAGAGAGAGAGAGAGACAGCGTGAGCAGGGGAGGGTCAGAGAGAGAGGGAGACACAGACTCTGAAATAGGCTCCAGGCTCTGAGCTGGCAGTCAGCACAGAGCCCGACGCGGGGCTCGAACCCACGAACCGCGAGATCATGACCTAAGCGAAAGTCGGATGCTTAACCGACTAAGCCACCCAGGCGCCCCTTACATTGCCTTTTTAAAATTACTTTTATACTTTTGAGAATCCTCCATATCAACACACATAGCCCTACTTTCCCCTTAATCGTAGAATAACTTTTAAGTTGTACTGAATTTTCTTGTCAGCTCTGGTAAAGTTTCATGTCAAATATTAGTCCACATTATATTTGTAGATATTCTAGATATATTCCTAGAGTTTAATCTATCAATAGTTTTATTTCATCTCCCAGCCCCTTCCAGATATTCAAGGCCCTGTTTTTTGGAATTAATGTCCCAAGATTCATTTTACCGAGTGATCAACTACCTAGCCTCCCTCTCAGAAATTCTGATTGTGAGAATTTACAGTAGGCCCATGAATGTGCATTTTTCACAGACTCTCTGGGATGATCCTGGTATAATTAAAGAAATGTTTCTTGATTGGCTAGTGACAGAAATTCTATCTTATTGTTCTCCTTTTTGACTTCTTTAGGTTAGGAAAACTTAGTTTCAGACCTGGAAGAGGGTGTAGGGTATCTCATTCCCCCTTTGCACTCTTTTGCATGATCCTCATTTACATTTTTCGTTAGCCCTGTTTGGTATATTGTGTATAGTATTTAAGTTATCTCAGATCCCTTTGAGAATACATATTTCAGTTTTACTCTTGCCAGCTAGTCTGCTTATTTCCCATTGGAAATCACGTTTGAATAAAAAAATTTTTAAGATTTTATTTTTAAGTAATCTCTAAACCCAACATGGGGTTCAAACTCACAACCCTGAGATCAAGAGCCACATACTCCACTGACTGAGCCAGCCAAGCTCCCCATGTTTGAAAATATTTAATGAATGTGTTTGGTTCAGTCCTACAATAGTATTCTTTAATAGGCCAACAAGTGGTTCTTACAGCAAGTATTTTATTTGAATAATCCAATTTTAGCCCTTTCTGAAAAAATTACCTAATATTAAAATACCTCATTCTTTTCATGACAAATAGGATGATCACTTATTAAAAAAAATTTTTTTTACATTTCTTTATTTTTGAGAGACAGAGACAGTGTGAGTGGGGGAGGGACAGAGAGCGAAGGAGACACAGAATCTGAAACAGGCTCCGGGCTCTGAGCTGTCAGCACACAGCCTGATGCAGGGCTCGAACCTACAAACTGTGAGATCATGACCTGAGCAGAAGTCAGATGCTCAACCGACTGAGCCACCCAGGTGCCCCAGATGATCACTTATTAAAGATTATATTTAGGGGCACCTGGGTGGCTCAGTTGGTTAAGCGTCCGACTTCCGCTCAGGTCATCATTTACAGTTCCTGGGTTTGAGTCCCACATCAGGCTGTGTGCTGACAGCTCCGAGCCTGGAGCCTGCTTCAGATTCTGTGTGTGTCTCTTTCTCAAAAATAAAGAAACATTAAAAACAAATTAGGGGCGCCTGGGTGGCTTAGTCAGTTAAGGGTCCGACTTTCGCTTAGGTCATGACCTCGCAGTTCGTGGGTTCGAGCCCCGCGTCGGGCTCTGTGCTGACTGCCAGCTCAGAGCCTGGAGCCTGTTTCAGTCTGTGACTCCCTCTCTCTCTGACCCTCCCCTGCTCACGCTGTCTCTCTCTCTCTCTCCTATAAATAAAAATTAAATAAATAAATAAATAAATAAAAACAAATTTAAAAAACCCAGAGATTATATTTAACAATTTTGTCCTGCAGTTGGAAGAAAGTTGCCTGCAATCTATTTTATCCTTCATGCGAAGAGCAGCACAGGCTATTCTCTTCAGATAGGGCATAGATAAGTTTTCTTTATTAGGTGAGATTATCTCAGATGATCTCTGATCACATTTTCACAGTTACAATTTGCAACAGAAATATTTTTGAAATAATGTTCAAGACAGCAGTTTTGGGGCTCATGAGTGGCTTAGTCAGTGGAGCATCTCTTGATTTCCGCTCAGGTCATGGTCCCAGGGTCATGGGATCAAGCCCTGTGTCAGGCTGAGTGTGGAGCCTGCATACGATTCTCTCTCTCCCTCTGCCTCTCTCCCCCACTCACATCTCTCTAAAGTAAAAATTAAATGTTAAAAAAAAAAAAGACAATCAGCAGTTTCATTTGCTCACTTTTATTCTTTCTATTTTTCATTAAAAACAGAAAACTAACCATATTTATAAATTATAAATTACATTTGTTGAAAATAGATTTTAAAGTTCCTAAGTACTTTTTAGTCAGTGAGTCACTGTATAGTCATGAAATCGATAGTTTTAATAATTTTATTTATTTTTTAATGTTTATTTTGAGAGAGAGTGTGTGTGCATGAGTGCACAAGAGTGAGTGGGGTGGGGGAGGGGGGAGAGGAACAGAGAGAGAGGGAGAGAGGGAAAGAGGGAATCCCAAGCAGACCTGAGCTGAAATCAAGAGTTGGATGCTTAACCAACTGAGCCACCCAAACACAGGATAAAGTGGCTTTATACAGCAGTGTGAAAAAAATTAATACTCACGAGTCATAAATCTAATCTTTGTTAATATACATAATATTGCTTAACAAAATTGTAAATTCTAGTCATTACTTGACTCAGGTTGTTGCTACACAACTTGAGCTATTTTTATAGAAAATGACTACCATGGAGTGCCTTGGTGGCTCAGTCTGTTAAACATCATGATCACAGTGGTTTCAAGTACCACGTTGGGCTCTGTGCTGACAGCTCAGAGCCTGGAACCTGCTTCCAATTTCATCTCTTCCTCTTTCTCTTCCCCTCCTCCACTTGCAGTCTGCCCTTCTCTCTCTCAAAATTAAATAAACATTTAAAAAAATTAAGGAAATGACTTCCTTATCACCAGCATGTTCAAATGTTGGACCAGATGGCCCTGTTAAGCTTCTTTACAGCATAGAGCTTCTGTAATTCATTATTTTATATATCTATATCTATATATGGGCATGGTACACTTTAACTATAATAGAATCTTAACATATGTATCTTGGGACACATGGGTGGCTTAGTTGGTTGAGCCTCTAACTTCAGCTCAAGTCATGATCTCATGGTTCGTGGGTTTGAGCCCCACATTGGGCTCACTGCTGTCAGCGCAGAGCCTGTTTCTGATCCTCTGTCTCCCTGCCCTCAAAAATAAATAAACCTTTAAAAAATATTTGTATCTTTGCAATGGCCATTCAACAGTAACCATTTGAAACATATTTGAGTTCCTGCTGTGTACCAGACATTATACTATGTGATGAATTATGAGAATATGGCAGTAAATGGGATAGTGAAGGCCCTTCACCTCCTAGAATTCCATACATTTTTAAGGAACTTCATGGAAAAATTTGAAGCAGTTTGAAAACCATGAATTAGATCATTTATTAAGTTCCTTTTTCCTTTTCTTTTTAAATTTTTTTTATTTTTTTAAAATTATTTATTTATTTTGAGAGAGAGAGAACAAGTCGGGGAGGGGCAGAATCCCAAGCAGGTGCCTTGCCACCAGTGCAGAGCCCTATGCGCAGCTCAAACTCAGAAACTCTGAGATCATGACCTGAGCCAAGATCAAGAGTCAGGCACTTAACCACCTGAGCCACCCAAGCACCCCTCTTTTATTTTCTATCTTTCTCTTTAAAAGGCAGTTATGGATAGTTAAGAAAGATGTATCTTTATTTTAAGGAACATAAAAAAAGAAAAAAGAAACAGAGGGGCATTAAATCTTCACCTCTATTTAACCGTGTTTAAACTTAGAGTAACAAATAATTGTAAAATTTATCTTTACTAAGTATAGATTTTTCTGAGTGACACTGAATAGTATAGAATTTGATTTTCCTGCCTAAGATTTCTTATCTATATAGTAGGAAGCTTCCCTTCCTTTCTTTCTCACTCCTTCTCTCCCTAATGGGTACCATATAGATACATTTAGGAAAAAAATAGACACGTTGTCTATAGTACTAAGGCCTATATGATCTGAATGAGTGTTTAAATAAGTATGTTTAACTTGAATACAAGAATAACTTATTAAAAGCTAATCAAATCATATACACAATTAAAAAATAGAAATCCTTATTTTTCTATATTAGAATCCATTAAGAAGTAAAATATACCCAGATCCAATATACTTGATCTGTCTGGTAGTGATACCTAAATAAGGTAATGATATTAATATCTTGTTATTTCCTGTAGAAGTGTTCTTACTTGAGAACAATTGAGTAGCTTTGACTGTTCACTGTAGATAGGAATGGCTGTACAAAAATTCTAGGTGGAATTATATATTGTTACTGGTATTAATTTAAACATAATTTTCTAGGTAATTAATGATCCTATCCATGGCCACATTGAACTCCACCCTCTCCTCATCCGAATCATCGACACACCTCAATTTCAGCGGCTTCGATATATCAAACAGTTGGGTGGCAGTTACTATATTTTTCCAGGCGCTTCGCACAATCGATTTGAGCACAGTCTAGGGTAAGATGGTAGTTGATGGGGAATTTACAGTTATTAAGTACTTATCCTATGAAGTGATGATCTCATCTTATCTTTTAGAGAATAGTTTTACAAAATAGTAATATCCATATTTTGTTGTTGAGAAATGGCTTTGATTTACCTTGCTATATTTTATGTATTTTTTTTTTAAATGAGAGACTGTATGTGAGCGGGGGAGGGGCAGAGAGAGAGAGAGAGGGAGACACAGAATCCAAAGCAGGCTCCAGGCTGTGAGCTGTCAACACAGAGCCTGATGCAGGGCTTGAACTCACAAACTGGAAGATAATGACCTTAGCCAAAGTCAGACACTTAACTGACTGAGCCACCAGGTACCCCTATTTTACGTATTCCTATAAGCTAATTCAGATCCTCACTGGAAAGAAAATGAAAGTGTGTATTGACAGGCCATTTTGATGACATATTTGTGTTTAAATATGGGTTGGTTACTGGTATAACAGCGTTGTAAATTTGATTATTTAATTTTCCTGTTTAGTCTTGTAAAGAATTTCTCTTTGAAACCAAATAATATTCTTAACCTAGCAGGAAATGTATAAATCAGAAAAGCATTCACAAACTTAGAGAAAGTGGCACCTCTCTTACAAACAACTAAGTTGAGAATTTGCTCTACTTTTCCATTATGAAATCTAGAGCCGGGAGAACATGGACTGTGGTGGAAAGAACTGGACAGTTTTTGAGGTTTCATGGAGTACTCACACGGTTTTACTTTGTTTGTTTGTTTCGAGTGTGTGTGTGTGTGTTTGAAGTCTTTTTTTTTTTTTTTAAATCATGTTTGTTTGTTTATTTATTTATTTATTTTTTAATATTTTTATTTATTTCTAGGAGAGAGAGAGAGAGAGACAGCGTGAGCAGGGGAGGGTCAGAGAGAGAGGGAGTCACAGGCTGAAACAGGCTCCAGGCTCTGAGCTGGCAGTCAGCACAGAGCCCGACGCGGGGCTCGAACCCACAAACCGCAAGATCATGACCTAAGCGAAAGTCGGACGCTTAACCGACTAAGCCACCCAGGCGCCCCTGAAGTGTTTTTAATTAGCCAAACATCAGTGTCTACTCAGATGTTTATTCATTCATCAACAAATATTTATTGAAAACTTACTAGGCCCTACCAGACCAACATGATAGCAATTGTTTCAACTTCATGGAGTTCAGGTTTAAGCAGAGAAAAAAAGATACTGTATTCATTTAGGAATTACTTTCAGAGGGAAGTGCTAAAAGTGCATTTAACATTTGTTAGGCACTGTATCTTCAATCTATGTTATAAAGACAGAAGACCTGCTTTTTTGAAAAAAAAAAAATCATGGTAAAATACACGGAATATAAAACTTACCATCTTAACCATTTTTAAGTGTATAGTTCGTGTTAAATACATCCAAATTGTGCAACCAAACTCTAGAACTTCTTTATCTTGCAAAACTGAAACTCTGTCTCCATTAAATAACAATTCCTCATTCTCCTCTCCCCATAGCCCCTGGCCATAACCATCCTACTTTCTTGTTTCTATGAATTTGACTATGCTAGGTACCTCTTATAAGTGGTATCGTACAGTATTTATCTATTTGTGACTGGCTTAATTCACTTAGCATAATTTTCTCAAAGTTCATTTATATTAGAGCATGTGTGAGAATTTCCTTCTTTTTTAAGACTGAATAGTATTCTTTTGTATGTTTATACCACATTTTGTTTATTCCTTTGTTTGTGAGAGGAGGGATGCTCCTACCTCTTTGATTTTTTTTTTTTTTGAGAAAAGCTTTTATTGCACCCACAGTGAGCAGAAGGAGACGTCTTCTCACACAGTGTGGCCACAAGGTCTACCATTAACTAAATCTGACAACCCTTTACTGGTTTAAAGCATATTAATTAGCTTCTTGCTATCAGGTGTACATCATTTCTGCCATGTGGGACATTTTCTTGGGAATATACAAGTAATAGTCCATGTAGCCTGACAAGTCCTCAATGGTCACATCATCCACATAGACTCGAGCTTGCTCAGAACAGGAGGTGGGTGGGAGCAGACAGAGTTCTGGTGTGCAGTGACTGAGTGCTGCTAGGAACACAGGTGTGCTTATACCTCTCTGAGACTCTGCTTTCAGCGTTTTTGGTTATATATCCCGAGTGGAACTGCTGGATCATATGATAATTCTAGTTTTAATTTTCTAAGGAACCACTATATTCTTTTTCATAGTGGTTGCACCATTATACATTCCCAGCAACGGTGTACAGGTTCCAATTTCTCCACATCCTGCCCAACATTTGTTGTTTTGTTTTTTGTGGGGTTTTTTTTGTTTGTGGTTTTTTTTTTTTTTTAAACAGTCTATCTAATGAGTTTGAGGGAGTATCTTATTGTGGTTTCAATTTTGTATTTCCCTAATTACTGATTGTGAGCCAATAGGTCCTGATTTGGGGATTCTGTTGGTGAGTTTTTGCCTAGTTCTGAAATAGACTATTCTGTTAACTCTTTGTAGAAATATGTTAAAACATTTGAAAAACATATTAAAATTCTTGAGTTCCACACCAAACTCCACACCCGAAAAACAAACAACCCAGTGAAGAAATGGGCAGAAGATATGAACAGACACTTCTCCAAAGAGGACATCCAGATGGCCAACAGACACATGAAACGATGCTCAGCATCCCTCCTCATCAGGGAAATACAAATCAAAACCACACTGAGATACCACCTCACGCCAGTCAGAGTGGCTAAAATGAGCAAATCAGAGAACTCTAGATGCTGGCGAGGATGTGGAGAAACGGGCACCCTCCTACACTGTTGGTGGGAATGTAAACTGGTTCAGCCCCTCTGGAAAACAGTGTGGAGGTTCCTCAGGAAACTAACAATAGAACTCCCCTATGACCCAGCAATAGCACTGCTAGGAATTTACCCAAGGGATACAGAAATGCTGCTGCATAGGGGCACATGTACCCCAATGTTCATAGCAGCACTCTCCACAATAGCTAAAACATGGAAAGAGACTAAGTGTCCATCATCGGATGAATAGATCAAAAAGATGTGGTTTATCTATACCATGGAATACTACATGGCAATGAGAAACAATGAAATCTGGCCATGTGTAGCAACATGGATGGACCTTGAGGGTGTTATGCTGAGCGAAATAAGTCAGGCAGAGAAGGACAAATATCATATGTTTGCACTTATAGGAGGATTAGGAGGAACTTAACTGAGGAACAAGGGGGAGAAGAAGGGGGGAAATGGTGGGGGAAAGGGAGAGAGGCAAACCATGAGAGACTCTTGAATGCTGACAAAAACTGAGGACTGATGGATGTGGGGGGGGGGGGGATGGGCATGGAGGAGGGCACTTGTGGGGATGAGCACTGGGTGTTATGTGGAAACTAATTTGACAATAAACTATTTGTAAAAAAAATAAATAAAAAAATAAAACAGGAAACACACACACAAAAAAAATTCTTGAGTTCCAGAAGTATCATCTTTCGAAGGGAAGAGTGACTTTATGTTGTTTTTTGTCTTACTTACTTTGCAGCGTAGGGTATCTAGCAGGATGTCTGGTTCGTGCACTACGTGAAAAACAACCAGAGCTGCAGATAAGTGAACGAGATGTGCTCTGTGTTCAGATTGCTGGCCTTTGTCATGATCTCGGTATGCTGTACAAAGAACCAAAGTTGTTAATGTAAAACCATAACATGTTATCTCTTTTTGAAATTAAAAAAATCTAACTGATGGAAAGAAATATGAAACTTGTGTTTTAATTCTGCAGCTAACATTAATATAAATGTGCCATAGCTTCTTCCTAGGATGATTCATAAGCCCAAAGCTTTGCTATTATTTTTTGTGGTCTTTAAATGTATTTCCTACATTAAACAATTTTGCTACAAGTTATATGAAAGGACTTTCTTTTTTTTAAGATATTTAAATTTTTAATTAAAAAAAATTTTTAGAGATAGAGTGTGAGGGGTGGGGGCAAGGGAGATGGAGAGAGACAGACAGAGAGACAGAGACAGAGAGAGAGAGAGAGAGGGAGAGAGAGAGAGAGAGAGAGAGAATATCCCTGTCAGGCTCCATGCTGTGGAGCCCAGTGTGGAGCTTGATCCCACAACCCTGGGATCATGGCCTATACCAAAATCAAGAGGAGGACATTCAAATGACTGAGCCACCCAGGTGCCCCAAAAGGACCTTTGAGAGTGAGACTTTTGACTACTGTATTTAGGATGATGTGAGTTTTATCGTTCTTTTATTCTTCTTGTTGCCATTTTCTTCCAGTTACTTTATCAAATCCATTCTTCTCATACCTATAATACATAATCTTCCCTAGCAGATTAACAACAGATTTAGAGAACTCCTTTTCTTCCCTGACCCATGTGAGGTCTTAGACCACTTAAATCCAAGTAGAGGCATATCATCCTTCGTTCACAAAGAAAGAGAAAAACAGGTGCCTGGCTGGCTCAGTTGGTTACACGTCCAACCCTTGATTTCGAGCACTGCATTAGTGAGCCTTTTTATATAGACTGTGACATGCAGAAAGGCCCAGGGCTGGTCCAGGTGGGGTCCCTCTTTAGCCAAGTAACTCACTTCAGAAATTCTAATAATTACAGAGTTGTGTGTCAACAAAGTTTCATATTATTAAATGGGTGGAATGTTAATATCACTTAGGAATAAGATAAACTAGTGATCTCCACTTTTGGTTGCCCACATCAGCAGCAAAAACCCAAGTGTATATATTTATTCTAAAACATACTGTGTACATTATAAAATTTACATGAAAATAGATGTTTTTAAAGGGATGAGAGTAGAAAAATAAAGTTTTATTATTTTCTTCCTCTACCCAGTGGATTATCTTAAAATATTATCTTAAAAGATTGAATAAATATTCAATCTGAAGATGCCAAAATTTTTCATTAATATTCCTTTTAGTTACACAAAACTGTCCTTTCATCAGATGTATGTAAGCTCTGATAGCTCAAAGACCCCTCCAGGGGCAGCTCACTTTCCTGTATGTTTTTGTTTCTTGTTTTAGAAAATAGGAAAGAAGGATTTTTTGTTCCTTTTTGTAATGTACTTATAGATTATTAATTTCTGTTGATACTCAATTTAGGCTAAAAAGATTAAAAAATAGATTCACTTTTTACCAATTTACAAGCAATTGTCTTGTTCTAAGGCTGCTTTTGTTTTTTAAGGTCATGGGCCATTTTCTCATATGTTTGATGGAAGATTTATTCCACTTGCTCGCCCAGATGTGGAATGGACGGTATGTATTCATATATTCAATAGTCAATAAAGTGAAGACTATTTAAGCAACCATTGCTGTATTACAGTATATCTCCCCATTAGAGTTTTTAGGGTGCATTCGTATACAAATATATAATGTTTCATTTTCTCTCACCGTAGTCTGTAAGGAAGGAATCATTATCTCCATTTTTATAAGTGTCAAGGAACTTGAAGCTCACTGGGGTGTATTGAACTGATACACAAAAAAAATCACCAAACTGTTAAATGGTAGAGCCAGCAGTAGAAAACCAGGCTTTCTAGCTGCTAATTTAATGCTTTTACTATTCTATCATATTACTGAAAAATAAAAGCTAACTCCATTTTGATCATGAGTAACTGATACCAGCCAAGTTTCATTGGTTATATTAAATGAACCATTTTATAATTCGGGATTTGGAGGTGGCTGAGCCATATTTTTGGAATCAGGCTTTGGAAAGTGAAGTTAGGCTGGCTTCCACTTTTTACCACACTGTATTTCTGGAACCTAGAGTAAAAGTAAATATGTACTGAATCCTCCTTCCATGTCATCCTTTATTTCTTTCCTTCCTTCCTGCCTGCCTTCTTCCTTTCTTTTTCTTTCCCTTCCTTTCCTCCTGCCTTCCTCCCTCCTTACCTTCTTCCCTCCCTCCTTTCTCTTCCTCCCTATCTTCCTCCCTATCTTCCTCCCTCTCTTCCTCCCTTCCTTTCTTCCTTTCTTCCTTCCTTCCTTCCTTCCTTCCTTCCTTCCTTCCTTCCTTCCTTCCTTCCTTCCTTCCTTCCTTCCTTCCTTCTCTCCCTCTCTCTCTCTCTTTCTTTCATTCTTTCTTTTTCTTTCTTTCATATATTTCTTAGAGTAATCTCTACACCTAACATGGGGCTCAAACTCATGACCTTGAGATCAAGAGTCACATGCTTTCCCAAATGAGGCAGTCAGACATCCTTATTTTCTTTCTTTCTTTGAAAGGAATAATTCAAGGGGCACCTGGATGGCTTAGTCGGTTAGGCACCTGACTCTTGATTTCAGCTCACAGCTTGTGAGTTCAAGCCCTGCATTGCACTCTCTGCGTCAGCATAGAGCCTGCTTCAGATCCTCTGTTCCCCCTATCTTTCCCTCCCCCACTAGCACTCCCTCTCTCAAAAATAAATAAATGTTAAATTTTTTTATAAAGGAATAATTCACATATAGTAAATTGTACCAATCTTAATTTTTTTATTTGTGTATTTATTTTAAGTAACCTCCACACCCAACATGGGTTATAAACTAACAACCTCGAGATCAAGAGTCATACACTCTGCTGACTGAGCCAGCCAGGCACCATCGATCGTTCAGTGAATTTTGACAGATATATACATCTATGTAATAACTACCCAAGTCAGGACACAGAATGTCTTCATCTTCTTGGAAAACTCTCTTCTCAGTCAATGGCCACCTCTCCCTTGTCACCTTCTGATTTTTATAAACCTAGATTAGTTTTGCCTATTCTTAGATTTAATATAAGTAGAATCATATCATAGATACCCTTTAATATCTTGCTTTTATTCATACAACATGATGATTGTGAGATTCATTCATGTTGCATGAATCACCTGTTGATCCCTGTTTATTGCCGAGGTAGTAATCCATTGTGTGAATAAGCTGTGATTTGTTTGTCCTTTTTCCCTTTGATATGATTTGGGTTGTTTTCACTTTTTTGGCTATTACAAATAAAGTTGCTATACACATCACTGTATGTAATTTTTGTGGAAAATGCTTTCATTTCTCTTAGGTAAAATTCCTAAGAGTAGAATTGCTAGATCATAAAGTAGGTGCATGTTTACTTTATAAGAAATTGCCAAGGACATCTGGGTGACTCAGTCAGTTGAGTGTTGGTGTCCAATTCTTGATTTAGGCTCAGGTCATGATCTCCCAGTTCGTGGGATAGAGCCCTGCATTGGGCTCTGTGCTGACAGCTTGGGATATTCTCTCTCCCACACTCTCTGCCCCTTCCCCCCTTATGCACATGCTTTCTCTTTCTCTCTCTCTCTCTCAAAATAAATAAATAAACTTTTTAAAAGGGGCGGACCACTCAAGCGCCCCCCTGTACTTTGTTATAGATTTATTTTCTTTTGTGAAATGTTCTTTCAACATTTAGCCCATTTAAAAAATGTTTTTGTTTGCCTTTTAATTGTTGATTTGATTAATTATATATATAACTATATAACAGTATCTGTAGTAACTATATATATAATGGTCAGACATATGTATTATGAATATTTTTTCTTCATTCTATTGCAAATTCATTCACTTAAGTAATCTCTACACCCAACATGGGGCTCAAACTCATGACCTGAGATCAAGAGTCACATGGTCTTCCAACTGAGCATGCCAGGCACCCCTCCAATTCATTTTTTAAAAAATTTTAATGTTTGTTTATTTTTGAGAGAGAGAGAGAGGAGAGAGAGAGAATGAACATGAGTGGGGGAGGGGCAGAGAGAGGGAGAAACAGACTGAAACAGGCTCCAGGCTCTAGGCTCCAAGCTGTCAGCACAGTGCTCCACATGGGGCTCTAACTCACAAACTGTGAGATCATGACCTGAGCCAAAGTCAGATGCTTAACCAACCGAGCCACCCAGGCGCCCCTCCAATTCATTTTTTTTTAATGGTGCCTTTTGAGAAACAAATTTTAAATTTTAATGAAGCATTCTGGTTCTTCAACTAAGATGTACAGTTTCTCTATAGTTTTGCTTTCTTAGAGCCTCATACTTAAGGCCATAAAAGAACTGGAATATTGCTCAGTGCTCTTTTTCTTCCAAGTATTAACTTCCCTCTGACATCTGCCTACTCTGGTCACTTTCCAGTACTTTTAGGAAGTTGTCCAGACTCAATAGTTGTTTTCTCCTGCAAGGCTGATCTAAATAGGATCTACTCAGCCATCTTCACATCTTTTTATTTAAATATTTGACCTTCTGGGGCACCTGGCTGACTCAGTTGAGCATCCAACTCTTGATTTCAGCTCAGATCATGGTCCCAGGGTCATGGGATTCAGCCCCACATCAGGCTCCATAGTGAGCATGGAATCCTGCTTTAGGATTCCCTCTTTTCTCTCCCTCTGCCCCTCTCCCCTGCTCTCACACACCACTCTCTCTCTCTCTCAAATACTAAATAAATAAAATAAATAATAAATAAGTAAATAAATAAATATATTTTTTAAAATAATAAATATTTGGCCTTTCACATATCAGTCCTTAACTCATGTGGATTCATTTATATCCATAGTAGAAATCTAACGTATTTTTTAAAACATGGATAATTGTTTATTGAATAGTTCATTTCCATACTGATCTATAACAAACCCCCAACATCTATTAACTTTCCATATATGATGAATCCTTCTGGATTCTCTTCTATTTCACACTTTAATTATTATTACTTTATAATATCTGTTCACACTTTTATGGAGTATCTTTGTCCCTTTCCTCTTCTATTATAAATTTTATAATCTTTTCCATAAAGGTCGTCTATATCTTTTGTTATATTTACTCCTAAGCTGCTTATAATTTTCATTGTTCTTGTCCATGCTATGTTTGTAGAACTTAAATTTTTCTGTATAAATACATTTTGGGGGGGTCCCTGGCTGGCTCAGTTTGTGGAGCGTGAGATTCTTCGTCTCTGGGTTGTAAGTTTGAGACCCATGTTGCGTGTGGAGATTACTTAAAAATAAAAATCTTTTAAAAAGTAAAATTTTTTCTGAACTATTTGAAACTGAGTTGTAGACATACACTTGTATTCCTAAATATTTCAGTGGGAATTTCCTAAAAACAAGAACATTCTCTTACATAACCTCAGTACAAATACCAAAATCAAGAAATTAATATTCATTCTATACTATTATTTCATTTATAATTTCTTTCAAATTTCATCAGTTGTCCATGCAGAAAAGGAGAAAGACAACTTTTTTTCTCCACGATCCATATATAAGTCATACTTAGTTGCTATTTCTCTTTAGTCTCCTTTGATCTGGAATAATTCTTCAGTCTTTATCTTTCATGATCTTGTTATTTTTTGAAGACTACAGGTGAGTTGTTTCTGATATGTCCCTCAGTTTGTCTGATTTTTTCAGTTTTGTTATACATAGTGTCAGACTATTTTCGGCAGAATGCCACATTATATCTTCTTTAGCATATCACATCAGAGGCACAAAAACTCTGTTTTTAACTTATTACTGGTGACATTAACTTTGATCACTTGATTAAGGCAATGTTTACCAAATTTCTTCACTATAAAACTGTTTTTTCCTTGTAATTAATATGTATCTTGATACACACCCATGTTGCCACACATGGCCAGATTTCATTCTTTCTTATTGCCATGTAGTATTCCATTGTATAAATATACCACATCTTCTTGATCCAGTCATCAGTTTATGGATGCTTAGGCTCTTTCCATGCTTTGGCTGTTGTTGAAAGTGTTGCTATGAACATTGGGGTACATGTGCCCCTATGCAGCAGCACTCCTGTATCCCTTGGGTAAATTCCTAGCAGTGTTTCTCCTGGGTCATAGGGGAGTTCTATTGTTAATTTTTTGAGGAACCTCCATACTGTTTTCCAGAGGGGCTGCACCAGTTTACATTCCCACCAACAGTGCAGGAGGGTGCCCGTTTCTCCACATCCTCGCCAGCATCTAGAGTTCTCTGATTTGCTCATTTTAGCCACTCTGACTGGCGTGAGGTGGTATCTCAAGGTGGTTTTGATTTGTATTTCCCTGATGAGGAGGGATGCTGAACATCGTTTCATGTGTCTGTTGGCCATCTGGATGTCCTCTTTGGAGAAGTGTCTGTTCATAACTTCTGCCCATTTCTTCACTGGATTGTTTGTTTTTCGGGTGTGGAGTTTGGTGAGTTCCTTATAGATTTTGGATATTAACCCTTTATCTGATACATCATTTGCAACTATCTTTTCTGAGGTCCCAATAGTTTATTTTTGCTCTTGATTCCCTTGCTTTTGGGGATGTGTCAAGTAAAAAATTGCTGCGGTGGAGGTCAAGGAGGTTGTTTCCTGCTTTCTCCTCTAGGGTTTTGATGGTTTCCTGTCTCACGTTCAGGTCCTTTATCCATTTTGAGTTTATTTTTGTGTATGGTGTGAGAAAATGATCTAGTTTCATTCTTCTGAATCTTGTTGTCCAGTTCTCCCAGCACCACCTGTTAAAGAGGCTGTCTTTTTTCCATTGGAGACTCTTTCCTGCTTTGTCAAAGATTAGTTGGCCATACATTTGTGGGTCCAATTCAGAGTTGTCTATTCTATTCCATTAATCTATGTGTCTGTTTTTATGCCAATACCATACTGTCTTGATGATTACAGCTTTGTAGTAGAGGCTAAAGTCTGGACCCATAACTAGTGAAGAAATTGAATCAGTTATCAAAAATCTCCCAACAAATAAGAGCCCTGGGCCAGATGGCTTCCCTGGGGAATTCTACTAGACATTTAAAACAGAATTAATACCCATTCTTCTCAAGATATTCCAAAAAATAGAAATCGAAGGAAACCTTTCAGACTCATTTTACGAAGCCAGCATCACTTTGATTCCCAAGCCAGAGAGAGACCCAGGAAAAGAAGAGAACTACAGGCCAATATCCTTGATGAATATGGATGCAAAAATCCTTAACAAGATACTTTCAAATCGAATCCAACAGCACATAAAAAGAATTATTCACCATGATCAAGTGGGATTCATTCCTGGGTTACAGGGCTGGTTCAATATTCGCAAATCAATCAGTGTGATCCATCACATCAACAAAAGAAAAGATAAAAACCGTATGATCCTGTCGATAGATGCAGCAAAAGCATTTGGCAAGATACAGCATCCCTTCTTAATAAAGACCCTCAAGAAAGTCGGGATAGACAGAACTTACTTAAACATCATAAAAGCCCTCAGCTAACATCATCCTCAAGGGGGAAAAACAGAGCTTTCCCCCTGAGATCAGGAACACGACAGGGATGTCCACTCTCACCACTGTTATTCAACATACTGTTGGAAGTCCTAGCATCAGCCATCAGACAATAAAAGGCATCAGAATTGGTAAAGAAGAAGTCAAACTTTCACTTTTCTCAGACGACATGATACTCTACACAGAAAACCTGACAGACTCCACCAGAAGCCTACTAGAACTGATCCATGAATTCAGCAAAGTTTCAGGGTACAAAATCAACGTACAGAAATCGGTTGCATTTTTATACATCAACAGTAAAGCAACAAAAATAGAAATCAAGAAACTGATCCCATTCTCACTTGCACAAGAAACCATAAAATGCCTAGGAATAAACCTAACCAAAGATATAGGAGATCTGTATGATGAAAACTATAGAAAACTTATGAAGGAAATTGAAGAAGACACACAGAAATGGAAAAACATTCCATGCTCATGGGTTGGAAGAACAAATATAGTTAAAATGTCATTACTACCCAAAGCAATCTACACATTCAGTGCAATCCCAGTCAAAATTGCACCAGCATTCTTCTTGAAACTAGAACAGACTATCCTAAAATTTGTGTGGAACCACAAAAGACCCCAAATAGCCAAAGCAGTATTGAAGAAGAAAACCAAAACGGGAAGCATCACCATCTTGATACACTTTTTAAAAAATAGTTACAGGACCATTCAGGTTTTTGTTTTCATATTGAGTCAGTTTTTGGTAAGACCTGTAATGTTGTCAGTATCTTCAGGGGATCATTTGATGTTTATAATTATGAATGAGTGAGCAGAGACAGACAGATGACTAAAAAGGGGCCAATTTGAGATTCCCCCCTAGATCTTGACTTCAGAACTCTAAAGCACTTTTGTTCTTAACTGGCAAGTTTGCAGTTACTCCTTTTCACCACCAGATGGAAGTGCTAACAGAATTTGTAACTTCAAACGTTCTAAGCCTGATGAAACAATAGAACTGAATTTTATAGTGATACTCATTAAAGCAGGATCCCATCTGTATGACTGGGTAATATTCTTCTGTACTGTACTATACAATATTTCTGTATAGCAAATGATTATATCTCATTAAATATATTTATGAGGTAATGATGAACATGATATGTAAAAACTTTGTTTATAGACAAATTTAACAGGTTTTTATAAATATCTGTAAAATGGCAGCTGGGAACTAGATAATTAAAATGCAATGGAACCTTATCTCTGAATTACCTGGAATCAAGAATAATTTGGATTATCTGGGGTCCCAAATGGACTAGAGTCTATAACAGACCATATTGTGTTGACTTTTCCTAGCATGAACAGGGCTCAGTGGAGATGTTTGAGCACCTAGTTAATTCTAATGGAATCAAAGCTGTCATGGAACATTACGGTCTCATCCCTGAAGAAGATATTTCCTTTATCAAGGAACAAATTACAGGACCACTTGAATCACCAATCAAAGATTCTTTGGTAAGTTTGCGTACAACTTAATTTGAATTGACTATGTTTTCCATCTAGTCTTTCTAGTTTCCTTCAGAGTTGATTTATTTATTTTTTAATCCTTCAAAGCTATTTGAAGAGACATATTTGGCTATTTAGGGGGAATAAAAGATAAAATACATTATATATTTCTACTGATTAATGCAAAAAAAAAAAAAAACCCGTTATCTATGTTTTTCATCTCTTGACTGAGTTCTTTAGAAGTTACCCCCCAAATTAAAATATATACGTAAATGTTTTTTGATGAATATATTTTGATGAATATATATTTAGTATTCTAAATAGAAGCCTGAAGTAACCTTATTTGAAAAATGTAAAAGGTATGTTCTGTTTCTCCATTAAAATTAACATGTTCGGGGCATCTGGCTGGCTCAGTTGGTAGTCTACACGAGTGTTGATCTCGGGATTGTGAGTTCAAACTCCACATTGGGTGCAGAGATTACTTAAAAATAAAGTATTTTTTAATTTAATTTAATTTTAAAAATCTTAATGATTATTTATTTTTGAGAGAGAGAGAGAAGGATAGAGGGTCCACATGGGATGGGCAGAGAGAGAGGGAGACACAGAATCTGAAGCAGGCTCCAGGCTCTGAGCTGTCAGCACAGAGCCCAACACAGGGCTTAGACTCATGAATCACAAGAGCATGACTTGAGCCAAAGTTGATGCTTAACTGACTGAGCCACTCAGGGGCCCCAGATCTTAAATTTTAAAGAAACCTTTAAACCAAGAAAAAAAGAGAGTTTGCTCATTATGGGAAGTGTAATAACAGAGTTAGGATTCTTTCAATGGCATAAGGCTTGGTATTAACAGGATATCACATACCTTAGCATTTTTTCTTCCTTTTTCTACTAGTTTAGGAATTAGGTGGAAGAAGGAAAGAGTGGAACTTTCTAACTTATCTCACATTCCCAGTCAAGTGTCTGTATATAATTTTTATTTTATTTTAATTTAAAAATTTTTATGTTTATTTCTGAGAGAGTGTGTGAGCCAGGAGGAGCAGAAGGAGAGGGAGACACAGAATCCAAACCAGGCTCCAGGCTCTGAGCTGTCAGCACAGAGCCCGATGCAGGGCTTAAACTCATGAACTGTGAGATCATGACCTGAGCCAAAGTTGGACACTCAACTGACTGAGCTACCCAGGCCCCCCTCTGTTTATAGTGTTTAGATTAACACAGTTGCTTTGCTTGTAAATAGATTTCGTCCATATCCTAAAACTTTTGGTGAGTTGTCTTCTCTTCCAGTGGCCATACAAAGGGCGTCCTAAGGAGAAAAGCTTCCTTTACGAGATCGTGGCCAATAAAAGAAATGGCATTGATGTGGACAAATGGGATTATTTTGCCAGGTATGCACTGAACACTTGAGAAAAATTGGTTAAAATCCTCATATCCTTTAAATATATATAAACTTTATTTAAATAAATGAATAAAATAAAAAATAAAATTACTGTATACATTTAGTGTTAATATTTAAGGTACAGTTTTCTTGTTGAAAAATTTCATCTCTCTGCTTTGGAATCTTTCTAGGGACTGCCATCATCTTGGAATCCAAAATAACTTTGATTACCAGCGCTTTATTAAATTTGCCCGTGTTTGTGAAGTAGATAATAGGAAGCGTATTTGTACTAGAGATAAGGTAAGTTAGGTCACAGGAACAACAAAGAAGGTGTAGTTCATAGTTTGAAGTCTAGAAGTAATCATTCAATAATTTGGAAAAATCAGAACTTGGTAAATTGTCAATCTCTTTATGCTTAGCAGTTCTAAGTATCTTAAAGTTCTTTTCACTTCTACTGCTTTGTTAAATAATAACAAAATTACAACAGACATTTATTAAGTAATGTGCTAGGCACTGCTTTTAAGTGCTTTAGGTGAATTAACTCAACCCTCACAGCCCTATGAAATTGATACTATTATTGTCCCACATAATAGGTGAGCAAATTGAAGCAGGGAAGACCTATAATTAATAAATGGCAGAACGGAAGTTTCAGCCTAGAAAGTTTGAGTCAAGTCTCATCTTTAACCACAGTTGGTGATATATGTTAGCGTTTCCTAATAGGTAAAATACTAAATCATTAGCTCTCTGCTAGATTAGAGTCATGTAACTAAAGACTAGTATGGTATTGTACTATATAAAGTCTTTCTTTTGAGAATAAACAATATAAGAAGAATAATGCCTAATCTTCTAGACTTGTTGAGAAGATCAAAAAAATGCATTGAAAATGCCTAAAACAGAACCTGCCACAGACTTAAAACAATAGATTTTGGTTTACTAAAAAGAAAAGTTGCAAACTACCTTGTAGTTTTTTATTGGGCTCAAGGATTTTAATGGGCTCAAGGATTTTAATGAGGTGGTCTTTGTGCATGGTCTTGTCCATCTTCACCATCCCTTTTCCTTGTCCTATGGACTTACCTATTAACAAGGGTAACAGAACCTGAGCCTACATTAATATCTATTTCATGTTTTCCTGCAGGAGGTTGGGAATCTGTATGACATGTTCCACACCCGCACCTCTTTGCACCGCAGAGCTTATCAACACAAAGTTGGCAACATCATTGATACAATGTAAGAAATTCTACTGCTGTATCCGTATAAAATTTCTTAATGAAGCTTTGCTAAAGGATCCATCTTGGGTCAAGTTGAGATTTCTAGGTGAATTCAAGTGAATTTTAAGTGAACAAATCTAAAATGGTTCCCTTAAACACAACAGAAACTAGCAAAAAGTTAGAACTTAATTGGAGGAAGAGGTGGAGAATGGGTAAAGGGGATAGATGAAGAATGGAAGACTTGGCTTCAGCAGGCCATGAAGAGGCGATGTTGGCATGCCTTAGACCTCGCCTCAGGTCGTTGCTTATGTGCCAGATAGAGGTCATCAAGGTGAGAGATAGGACGTGAATAATTGACATTCTGAAGTTAATGACAAGTTAATTTCAAGTATAAAGACTAACGTCTGTCCTTACCCTGTCAATTATTTGTCAAAAATAGTAGCAAATGCTAAAACTAATAGGAATGTCACCTCTTCTCCCTGGCCCAGTGAGAACCATAGCAAAAAAGTTCAGAAGTAGAGTGTAATTAATTCCACGTCTCTAAAATAGTTTTAAATTGACATGAGCAGACTAGTTAGAACACATTCATCTATTTGTATGGTTGTTACTTTGATAAGTTTTTACTTGTTTTTAATTCAGCTAGGTTCAGAGCCTCGTACTGGTCTTCCTAACTTGATTAGATGAAAATTACTTAATTTCTGCATCTGTAAAATTAAGGCTGATTACATCTATCTTGTTGGAAAGATTAAATAAGTAAGATAATGTATCTAAAGCCCTACCATAATGGTGGATCACAATAAACATGGTAGCACACAAATCACCATGCGCTTATTTATGTATTTATGTATGATTAAAACATAGTTGTCTTTTTTCTGTTTTGTAAAAAACATTTGTCTTTAGAACATCATGTCTCAGGGTTTTACTTCTCTAAAGTAGAAAGTTTTCCTTAGCTTTAAGGATGGCATTAAGCAAATATTCAAATTTTCTCATAAGCATAAATTTTTATGAAATGATATTTAGGATTACAGATGCCTTCCTGAAAGCAGATCCCTACATAGAGATTATAGGTGCTGAAGGGAAAAAGTATCACATTTCCACAGCGATTGACGACATGGAAGCCTTCACTAAGCTAACAGGTAAGAGCTAGACAGTAACATAGGAGGGCCATCTCAGATAAAGTGTGAGCTGTGCCTGGATTGCAGATGGGTTATTTTCCAAACATACCAATATATTTAGCTTCTCTAGTGATTATATACTTTTGGATTTGAGTTTTATTTCTGCTTTGTACTAACTATATAGCTTGATAAAATCATTTAACCTCTCTGAACCTTAGTTTCCTCATCTATAAAATGGGACTGTTGACACCCAGCATATAGTTTTGTTATAGTATTTAAATGAGGCATAACACTTGGTATAGAGTACATGGCCCTTAAGTACCAGTATTTATTGTTATTTAACTTAAAATACAGCTGGACTAATACCAGACTAAAAACCTGACTTGCCCTTTTAATGTTATTTTTGTTATAAAACACAGAATAGCAAGAGCATTTTGCCACATTTCAGCACAAACACAACCTGCAGCTTAGGGTGAGAAGGGAGAGGTGAAGGTGTTGCAGTTGGTTCTTTAATGTGGGAAAGTGCTGTCTGAGCAACAAAGCTCAGTAAAGCAAAAGTAGACCACAGAAGTTGGAGTTCTTCGTTGCAGATCATGAAACTGATTCTGTTTAAAAGGAAAGTTAGAAAGCAGTCACATAGCTCGTAGAGAATCAGTGGAAAGGCTGAAGATTTTTTAAATGAGCAAAAGCAGCAGAAGCTGAGTGGGCTGAGGCTAAGATCACTTTGCTCACAAAGTGAGCTAAGATCACTTTGCTCACAAAGTGAGCTAAGATCACTTTGCAGGAGCTTCCTGTGTGTGGTATGACTGGTGTCCCATCCCTGCTAGGTCCTGTCCACAGCACACTGCCAGAATGAGACTCACACCAGTGCCTCTCAGGCGGCCTTTGAGGAACCAATATTCTCCATGTTCAACAACTCACAGATCGATATTTCTGTAAAACAATAAAAATGAATTACAAGGAAAATGAAATGAGATTGGGAAGGACATACATAAGCCCAAATATTTCATACTGAGTTTAGCAGACTTAACATCCATTTCAATAAATATAACCAAAAGAAACAAAAATTTAAATAACAAAAACCGTATATATTATTCTTTAAAAATATGCATGTAGGTAATAGAGTCCCTATTAGACTTACAACTTTTTAGTCATTTTTCAATCAGAAGTAAACCAAAACTTAGAAGTGAAATAGTGATTCCTCATATTAAATATCTTTGTGTACACTCAGAACATTGTGTACAACGATATTTAAGGTTTATAATGTAACAAGTGATTTTCCTACTTGTTAATTAATCTAGATTGGATTGATGACACATTCACTCACAAGAGATATATATGTAAATTGTTTCTGTGTTTTGTTTTGAAAACATCATAGTAGATACTTGTCTACCATTGTTGTGTTGATAGGAATGGAAGAAGAGGTTATATAAGTTTGAGCAAGCTGGGGATACTTTAACTTTTGTTCACAACGAAGCAGATGATGCTGTATTTAAAAAGTCATCTTCAGGGCACCTGGGTGGCTCAGTCAGTTGAGCATCCAACATTGGCTTAGGTCACGATCTCATGGCTCGTAGGTTCATCAGGCCCTGAGCCTGCTTTGGATTCTGTGTCTCCCTCTCTCTCTCTCTCTCTCTCTCTCTCTCTGCCCCTCCCCACTCGCACTCTGTCTCTCTCACTCTCAAAAATAAACCTTAAAAAAATTTTTTTTTTTTAAAGTCGTCTTAAATTGGGTGCCTGGATGGCTCAGGTGGTTAAGCTTCCAACTTTGGCTCTGGTCATGATCTCACAGTTTGTGAGTTTGAGCCCCACATGGGGCTCTGTGCTGACGACTCAGAGCCTGGAGCCTGCTTCACATTCTGCGTCACTCTTTCTCTCTGTCCCTCTCCTGCTCACGCTCTGTCTCTCTCTTTCAAAAATAAACATTTAAAAAAGTCATCTTCAAAAAAAAAAAAACTTCAGTCTTCATCATCAGAAGCCAGTACTAACAAGTTATCCTGTAACATTATATACATTTCAACTTTCTTTTGGTGAAAAGAAATGAATTCAGGATTTTATGCATTTTTGGGTTAACTGACAAACTCTAAAGTATACAATTTAATGTGATCTTTTTTTAAAATATTTATTTATTTTTGAGAGAGAGAGACAGAGTACAAGCAGAAAAGAGGCAAATAAAGAGGGAGACAGAATCCAAAGCAGCAGGCTCTGAGCTGTCAGCACAGAGCCTGCTGCAGAGAATGAACCCATTAACTGCAATATCATGACCTGAGCTGAAGCCAGGTACTCAACTGACTGAGCCTCCTAGCCACTCCTAGTCTTTTTTTTTTTTTTTTTTAAGATTTATTTATTTTTGAGGGGTGGGGGGAAGACAGAGGATCCAAAGTGGGCTCCAGGCTGACAGCAGCGAGCCTGATGTGGAGCTTGAACTCACGAACTGTGAGATCATGACCTGAGCCAAAGCTGGACACTTAATCACTGAGCCACCCAGGCACCCCCTAATGTGGTGTTACCACATGACTATACATAGCTCTCGCTCACCATGAAGATTTTATAATACCCAGACTAGCTTTTACCTGGTTCAGTGAGATGAGTCCACTGATTACACCCTTGGGTATTATATTAATGTCAAAATTCCTAGGCAAAATATTAGTTCACATTTTGATGCTTTATCTGCCAGAGTATGGTAGAACAAGCCTATGGACTTTCCAGCTTTCATCATTTGAGACAGATAATCTTTTTTTTTTTTTTTAATGCTTTATTTATTTCTGAGAGAGAGAGCGAGAGAGCAGGGGAGGGCCAGAGAGAGAGGGAGACACAGAATCCAAAGCAGCCTCCAGGCTCTGAGCTAGCTGTCAGCACAGAGTCCAACACGGGGCTCAAACCCACGAACCATGAGATCATGACCTGAGATGAAGTCAGACACTTAACTGACTGAGCCACCCAGGTGCCCCAAGACAGATAATTTTATCTTTCTTGCAAACTATTCTGAGCAGTCGTATAATCCTTATTGGCCTTAACTACACAACCTGGAAGGAATAGGACCATGTGAGCCTTCCTTACCTTTTTGCTGCTTTTCCAAAAGTCAACTCACTTTATCTAAAAGTCTCCATTTCTTGTTTTTTAATTTTTTCAGTTTTTTTTTATTTTTATTTTTTTATTATTTTTGAGAAAGATAGAGATAGAGCGCAATTAGGGGAGGGGCAAAGAGAAAGAGGGACACACAGAATCTGAAGCAGGCTGAGCTGTCAGCACCGAGCCTGACTCAGGGCTTGAATCCATGAATCATGAGATCATGATCTGAGCCAAAGTCATACACTTAAACCGACTGAGTCACCCAGGCACCCCTAGAATGATAAATTTTTTTTTAATGTTTCATTTAATTCTGAGAGAGAGAGAGAGAGACAGCATGAGCAGGGGAGGGTCAGAAAGAGAGGGAGATACAGAATCTGAAACAGGCTCCAGGCTCTGAGCTAGCTGTCAGCACAGAGTCCCACGTGGGCTCAAACCCACGAACCATGAGATCATGACCTGAGCTGAAGCTGGATGCTTAACCGACTGAGCCACCCAGGCGCCCCTTGAATGTTAAATTTAAAAGGACCTTAGAGATCATCTACTTAAATTCTTCAAATGAGGAAACAGAGGCCAAGTGAGGGAATGCAATTTATCATAATAAATGACAAGCTAAAACTCAAATAAAGACTTATTACTCCCAAGTTGAATGTTGTTTACACTATTTTAGAGTAATATATAGCTATTCAATTTAACATACAAGCAGCGTTCTTTACTTTTGTACATAACTCTTTTCTTAATACAAATATGTGGAACAAACAGCTGTCACACATGGTTGGTGGGAATGCAAATGGTACAGCCATTTTGAAAAAGTTTAACATTTTCATATAAATATATATTTATCCTATATGATCCAGTAATTCTTCTGCCTGCTTACCCAACAGAAATGAAAATGTAAGTCCACCTCAAAGCCTGTACCTTATAGAGTAAGATAATAGGCACAAGAACAATATCAGTAAAATTCTGTAGAGTTCAAAGGAAGGAGGAATTACCTAGTTTGGATGAACTGAGGAAAGTTTCACAGTGAGGTGCCTTTTGAGATGAATCTCAGGGATTAGGGAGGCTTTCAAGAAGTGAGATTCTGTTGGGGGTGGGGGGTGCCTGGGTGGCTCAGTCAGTTGAGCATGTGAATCTTGATTTCAGCTAGGTCACGATCTCATGGTTTGTGGGTTTGCGCCCTACGTCGGGCTCCACACGACGTCAGCACAAAGCCTGCTTGGAATTCTCTGTCTCCCTTTCTCTGCACTTCCCCATCTTGTGCTTGCACTCTCTCTCTCAAAAATAAATAAATAAACATTAAAAGAAAAGAAGAAGAAGTGAGATTTTGGGGCACCTGGCTGGCTCAGTCAGTCGAGTAACCAACTCTTGATCTTGGTGTCATGAGTACAAGCCCCATGTTAGGCATAGAGATTACTTTTAGAAGTAAAATAAAAGTGAGGGATGCTTCGCTGGCTCAGTTGTTAGAGCATGTGACTCTTTTTTTTTTTTTTAATGTTTATATATTTTGAGACAGAGACAGAGCATGAGCAGGGGAAGAGCAGAGAGAGAGGAAGACAGAGGATCTGCATCAGGCTTCAGGCTCTGAGCCATTAGCACAGAGCCCAACGTGGGGCTTAAACTCATGGACCGTGATATCATGACCTGAGCCAAAGTCAGGTCTTTAACCAAACGAGCCACATAGGTGCTCCTAGAGCATGCAACTCTTGATCTTAGGATTGTGAGCTTGAGCCCCATGTTGAGTGTAGCTTACTTAAATAAAATCTTAAATAATAAAAATAAAAAGAAGTGAGATTCTGTTATGGAGGAAGCATTCCATTAATTCACCTAGGAATAAGGTCGATAAAGGCATGGATTAGAAAAGTGTGATCTTATTATGTTAAAGTGCTATTTTTTCAAACTGTGGGTATAATAATATGTAAAGAAATAATGGAAACTGTAGATGGAAAGATGACCTGTAAAAAGCATCACTGAGAGGATTCAGAATGTGTTAATCATAGATTGATTAGGGAGGAATGTGGACACGTAAGTGAGGTGAATGACATAAGGCTGCTAATATTTTATTTTGCCAAGGAAAGCCATTTTTAATAAAATTCATCTTGCAAAATACAGTAATTGATTCAGTTAAGGATTACCAATGAATGTTAAACCATTGGTTGAAAACTTATTGGGATAATCACACAGTCTCAAAATATTACCTTGTAGATTATTTGTTACTTACAAAAGGAAAGATACATTTATAATAGAGAAAGCTGGGATTATTGCTTTAATCAAATGATGGAATTTAACATAACCAATAATGGTAACTTCTCATTGTATTGCTCCTAATGCATTGAACCAGGCATATCCATTATATAGTGTTCTTGACAACGACCTTTAACTTGAATCTAATGGTGAAGAAACAGATGAGTTCAAAATGAGGGACATTGTCCAAAATGAGTGCCTGAACTTTCTAAAATGTCAGTATCATGAAATAAATCAGGGGATTATTCTAGTTCTGGATTAAAGGAGACTAAAGAATGTGACAACTAATGTCAGATATAATGCTTGGTTTCTCTAGCAACAAAAATCCACAAATTGCATTATTTTAACAATTAAGCAAATTCAAATATAGGCTGTTGTTTTAGATATTTTTATATCTGTGTTTAATTTTTTGGCCCCATAGTGGTTATGTAGAAGAATGTTCTTGTTCGTAGAAGATACATGAAGAAGTACTTAGGAGTGAAGCGTCTTGATGTCTGTAATTTTCAAATATTTCATCAAAAATTTGTGTGTGCACACACCAGTCAGAGGGGCTAAAATGAACAAATCAGGAGACTACAGATGCTGGCGAGGTTGTGGAGAAATGGGTACCCTCTTACACTGTTGGTGAGGATGTAAACTGATACAGCTGCTTTCGATAACAGTGTGGAAGTTCCTCAAAAAATTAAAAATAGAACTCCCCTATGACCCAGCAGTAGCACTGCTAGGAATTTATTACCCAAGGGATACAGGAGTGCTGATGCATAGGTGCACATGTACCCCAATGTTCATCACAGCACTTTCAACAATAAGCCAAATCAGGGAAAGAGCCTAAGTGTCCATCAACTGACAAATGGATCAAGAAGATGTGGTTTATCTATACAATGCAATACTACATGGCAATGAGAAAGAATGAAATCTGGCCATTTGTAGCAATGTGGATAGAACTCGAGGGTGTTCTGCTAAGTGAAATAAGTCAGGCAGAGAAGGACAGATACCATATGCTTTCACTCATATGTGGAACAGGAGAAACTTAACAGAGGACCATGGGGGAGGGGAAGGGGAAAAAATAGTTAAGGAGAGGGAGGAAGGCAAACCAAAAGAGACTCTTAAATACTGAGAACAAACTGAGGGTTGATGGGGGTGGGAGGAGAAGGGAAAATGGTGATGAGCATGGAGAAGGGCACTTTTTGGGATGAGCACTGGGTGTCATATGAAAACCAAACTGACAATGAACTATGAAAAAAATTTGTGTGTGCATATATACAAAGTATGCATATGTGGGAAAATGTTAACAGTTGATGGATTTAGGTGAAGGGTATTTTATTTTGAAAATTTTCAAAATAAAAAGCTGGAGGAAAAGGAAAAAAGAATTGCCTTCTAGGGCACTTGACCATCTCGGTTAGTAGAGCATCTAACTCTTCATCTCACAGTCTAAGTTCAAGCCCCGTGTTAGGTGTAGAGATTACTTAAAAATAAAATCTTAGGGTCGCCTGGGTGGCTCAGTCAGCTGAGTGTCTGACTTTTGATTTTGGCTCAGGTCATGATCTCACAGTTCATGGGTTCAAGCCCCAAGTTGGGCTCTGCACTGACAGTGTGGAGCCTGCTTGGGATTCTCGCTCTCTGCCCCTCCCCCGCTCATGGGCTCTCTTGCTTTCTCTCTCAAAATAAACTTGAATGTTTATTTTTGAGAGAGAGAGAGACAGAATGTGAGTGGGGGAGGGACAGAGAAAGAGGGAGACACAGAATCTGAAGTAGCTCTAGGCTCTGAGCTGTCAGCACAGGGTCTGACAAGAGGCTTGGACTCATGAGCTGTGAGATCATGACCTGAGCCAAAGTTGAAGGCTTGATTGACTGAGCCACCCAGGCGCCCCTCAAAATAAACAAACTTTTTTTTTAAATCTTAAAAAATAAAATCTTTAAAAAAAAAAAAAGAACTACTTTCATCATGGAATGGAACTTTTTTTAAAAATGTTTAATTTATTTTTGACATAGAGATAGAGACAGTGTGAGCAGGGGAGGGTCAGAGAGAGAGGGAGACACAGAATCTGAAACAGGCTCCATGCTCCGAGCTATTCCTCAGCACAGAGCTCGATGCAGGGTTTGAACCCATGAACCGTGAGATCATGACCTGAGCAAAAGTCGGACGCTTAACCGACTGAGCCACCCAGGTGCCCCTGGAACTTTAAAAAACTTTTTATTATGAAATTTACAAAATTCCATGTTTTGACATTAATTTGACAACAAATTAATACACCCCTATTTACTCATCATCCAGCCTTAAGCCATCTCTATCTACCCTCTCCCATTCACTAGGTTATCTTGAAGCAAATCTAAGACATTGAATGTTATACTGTGCTTACATTTGTAAGTGTCCACTTGAAATCGTTTCAGAAGTACAGCAGTATATGAGTCTTTAAATCTTTTTTTCATCTTAATATAACTGAAATGTTATCAAATTGGCAGATAACATTTTCCTGGAGATTTTGTATTCTTCTGATCCCAAACTGGAGGCAGCGCGAGAGATTTTAAAAAAAATTGAATACCGTAATCTGTACAAGTTTGTGGGTGAGACTAAACCAAAGGGAACAACAAAGATCAAAAAGGTGAGTTATCAATAGCGAAAGGTCTCTCTCTTCCAAGAGGGAACTCTCCAAGAGGAAGCCATTAACCTATCATGATATCATGACTCTATTCTAAGCCCTCTACGTTCATTTTTACTTAATCTTCTCATCAGTAACGTGTTCTTTGGTCCTGTAGATGAAGGAACTGAGGCTTGGGAGAGATTAAACAACTTGCCTACATAGGCAGTTAGTGAGCCAGGATTTGAACCGAAGTCTGACTTAGCCTAAACCTTTACTCTCTCGTCCCAGAAATGAGAGAGGGAGCCCCAAATTTTGGCTAGATCTAAAGGCAGGAAAATGAATGAGGCCTCAAAATAAGGTATCTGCATGAGCTTCACTGAGACGCTAAGGACCTGCTATTTACTAATTTCTTCTTTCACATTATATCAGCTTCTCCCAGATGGTGCATGCCAGATAACTGTATCTCTTTTCATCCCCTGCTTATGGAAGTTTTCTCTGTTTGCCAGAAAGCCAGTAACATGAGCCACACTGATTACCACACCCTGCCTCATGACACTTTTCTCTTATTTTACTAATAAGTCAATGCCACATTTTTTAAATGTGAAAATATTGTCATGAGACTCACTCTATTGTGATGTGTTTGAAGGATGGCATAAGCCAGAAGCTCTGTGTTTGTTGGGAGTATCTCTACCCACTCTTCCTAGTAAAGTGCCATTTTTAGAGAGGGAACCTTTTGTGGCACAAACACTAATGATGAAAACCTGGGGTTCTAATGTGAAGAGTCTTGTCTATTCTAGGAAAACTATAAAAACCTTTCAAAAGCTCTTGCCGATGCTAAACCTGAGGACATCTTTATAGAAACTGAACTGAAGGCTGAAGATTTCATAGTGGATGTAAGTAGTTAGCCCAGTAATGTACTAAGTAAAGACTTTTTTTTTTTAGTAAAGCTTCCCTATGTCCATTATAAAAGCAGCACATGTTCATTAAAGAAAGTTTGGAAAGGAGCGCTTGGATGGCTCAGTTGGTTAAGCATCCCGACTTTGTCTCAGGTCATGATCTTGCAGGTCATGGGTTCGAGCCCTAAGTCAGACTCTGTGCTGACAGCTTGGAGCTTGGAGCCTGCTTTGAATTCTGTGTCGCTCTCTCTCTCTGCCACTCCCCTGCTCATGCTCTTGTCTCTGTTTTTAAATAAACATTAAAAAATTTTTTAAAAAATGGGAACTCCAACTATTATAGTATTGCTCTTCTGGAAGAATATCTGTTTTGTCAGTCTGCTTTAAGGTGGAATTCTAGTGGTACATTTTGGAGAAAATAGGGATTGCCTTTTATTCCTTTATTCCTTTTTAGTCTAAAGCCAGGGAAAAAATATCAAAGAGCTAGTGGCATTTCTGACAGTTGCTGAAAATTTGATTAGTATTTATGCCTTACCATGATGTAAAAATGTCAAGGCTACATTGAATCCCTTCCCGAATGAAACAACACCCAGAAGAGAAGCCTACGATAGCACCAGCCTTGGGACCGTCGGGAGAGCTGAGCAACTGCTCCCTCCCAGGTGAAGGGAGGCAGAACACTGCAGCTCTCAAAGCTGGTAGAGCTCACTCAATGGGGGGGGTGGGGGGCACAGCCACTACTGCAGACCCCTGGTCTCATTTCTGGACCATAGCTGAATCTCAGATGTCTACCTTTCTCTCCCAGGGTACTGGCAGTATAGCTATCCAACTTCATGTACCGTTTTTTTTATTTGTTTGTTTGTTTGTTTTCTTTGGTAACCACTCACAGGATAGGCTCCTCTGTATAATCATCATCATCACATTACTCCATATTTTCCCTCTTATTTCCAGACCCTCCTCTTCTCCCAGTCCTGACCACGGAACCCTTCCACTCCATAATTAACAAACTTCCCTGTATCCTCAGCCTCTTTGTTGGCTCTCCTTGGCCGTGTTGCATCCTGGCTGTTCCCTGAGACCCTGATGCCCCTGCAGCCCTTTCAGGAAAAGTGCATTCCTCAGGGTCAGGAGACCTTCCCATTCATCAGTCCTGTTGTTCTCTAGAACCACTTCACAACCCTGTGCAAGATCCCTGTTCCTCTGAGACTGGCAGCTCTCAACCTGCTGTCTTCTTAGTTGAAGATATTGGCATAGTTTAAAGCCTTTCTTCCTAGTGATCCGTGGAGACTTCACAGTCCCCATGGCCAGCCGATTCCGATTAATCTCTTCATCCTTATCCTCGGTGACCTTATCCACTCCATCTCGGCCAGCACTCAGCAGACTACACTCTGAACCTCACCTCTAAAAATTGCTAATGGAAGCATCCTGTCTCCATCCTCAACCCCCCTTCTTCCTTATCTGTTCCTTGCTCATCAAGACCTCCAATTCCTTGTCTCCTTGCTTTCTTCTAGTTTGTCAATGACCTGCTATCTTACTTCTCTCCCAATCTTAGATTCTGTGATGGATTCAGCTATTTTCTGTAGTTACCCTCAACTTCCTTGACTTTCTTTTCATCTACCCAGCAAAACGCTGAATGGCAGTTCATAGTCACCAACCTTGTCTGGGCCTTCTGGACTGTCTGGCAGGGTGAGTGCAATCCTCCCTGTCTTCATAATGACTATTTCAAACCATCTCCACTCCAGACCTCCAGCCCTGTTTTCTGCTCACAACTGTATTCAGTTTCTGTGACTACTCTCACTTTGGCCCTTATTTCAGAGATAAAATACAGGCCATTAGACAGGAACTCTCTCAACCTACACCACCAAATAAGCCTCTGCAGCAGTGTTTGGCCTTCCCTCTGGTACAGTGGGGCAATGTCTCTCATCTTATCAAAAGCTAAGGGGAAGCTTTCTACTTGTGTTCCAGACAGGGCTGTCTGATGGAACTTTCTGTCGCTGGAAATGTTCTATAACCATGCTGTCCATTTTGGCAGCCACCAGCCACAGGTTCAGCACTTGAAACATGGCTGCCTCAACTAAGTAACTACATTTTTTATTATATTTAATGTTGATGACTTTAAAATTAAAAAGCCACCTATGACTAGTGACTACCATATTGGGCAATACAGCCATAGAGCCATTCGTCTTAGCACTTCTGTGGAGCCTTATGATATCCATTCTCTCCTCTCTCTCTCTGACTTTCCCATCAGCAGTTAAACAGACTTTTATCTCAAGAAGACAACAAACAGAGGTGCCTCAGTCAGTTGAGCATCCAATTCTTGATTTTAGCCCAGGTCATGATCTTGTGGTTTGTGGGATCAAGCCTCACACTGGGCTCTGCACTGAGCCTGCTTGGGATTCTCTGTCTCTCTGTCTCTCTCTCTCTCTCTCTCTCTCTCTCTCTCTGTGCCCCTCCCCCACTTGTATGCACCTACATGCTCTCTCAAATAATAAATAAACTTAAAAAAAAAGAAAGAAAACAAACATCATACCTTCACCCCTCTCCTTTAGGGTCAAACTCATTGAAAAGTACCCCCCTTTTATCTTTACTGGGTACCATATTCTTCTCTCTTGCATCTTTTTAACAGTCAAGCTTATAAGAGTTGTCTTCTCTTTTTTTTTTTAACTTTTTAACATTTATTTATTATTTTTGAAAGAGAAAGAGAGGAGTGGGGAGGGGCAGGAAGGGAGAGGGGAGACAGAATCTGAAGCAGGCTTCAGGCTCCGAGCTGTCAGGACAGAGCCTGACTCGGGGCTCAAACTCATGAACCGTGAGGTCATGACCTGAGCCGAAGTCACCCGTTTAACCTACTGAGCCACCCAGGTGCCTGCCCTGTCTTCTCTTTTTTACTTCTCATTTACTCCTAAACAGTTTGTGTCACCATCGCCACACTAGAACTACTCTTCCAGGATCACCAGTGACTTCAGTGCTACTTGACCCAGTTGGCCATTTCAGTCCTGTCTGCCTCAGAGCTTTTTCTTCTGCCTGAAATTTTGTTTTTGTTTTTGTTTTCCTACCTAGACCTGGTCCATTCCTGCTGACTTTCCCAGGAACCACTCCTAGTCATTCCCCCAGAGCCCCAGACTACAAGGCTCTCTTGTAACAAAGTTTCACAGCACCCTTTGCTTTTCCTTGGTAGCTCTTGTAGCAAATATAGTTTGATAATTACTTTAAAAATTTTTTTTAATGTTTATTTATTTTTGAGAGAGAGAGACACAGAGCTGGAGAGGCTGAGGGGAAGAAAGAGGGGGAGACACAGAATCTGAAGCAGGCTTCAGGCTCTCAGCTGTCAGCGCAGAGCCTGACTCCAGGCTCAAACCCACGAACTGTGAGATCATGACATGGGCCTAAGTTGGATGCTTAACCAACGGAGCCACCCAGGCGCCCCAATAATTACTTTTATAATCACTTGTTCAGCCTCAGTCTAGACCTCATGGTGCTATGGACGTTGGGATTGTATCAAGTTTCCTTAAATCTGTAGTACCACAGTGGCCTTCACATAGTAGGTATAGACTTTATACCCTACTCGTGTTGAAAGCACAGATATCTCCCCCACCCCACCCAGGTTTCAAAACCACATCCTGATGGTACATGTACCAGGGCTCTTTTTATTCTACCCTGAGCTACTTTATCAGTGCTCTTACTTCTGAAGCTCCAGAGAGCTCTGTTCCACTGTTTGTGATGCTCCTACAACCCTAAATTCAATTCTGTTATGGGAGTGGTCACTAATTTATTCCTTTTATTAAGGTTATCAACATGGATTATGGAATGGAAGACCAGAATCCTATTGATCATGTTCGCTTCTATTGTAAGAGTGACCTCAGCAAAGCAGTCATGATTACTAAAGATCAGGTAAGTACTTGGGCACAGTAACTACTGTAGTGGCATTTGGCAATTGTATGATAAATCTGCGCCTTACATGCAAATTAGGTCCTAAAGTCAACGTGTATAGCTAAAAAAAAAAAGTATTATTTTTACAATTAAAGTGTATCTGATTTTTGTGTAAATCATCTTAACAGCCAATTTTTCCTGTTTAGTGGCTCAGTTATAAATGTGATGGGAGAGAAGGGCTGTATTACGGTTGACGTCATGTAAGCTGGATGTGCTTATTTGCATATCTCCTAATGAGAGTCTGGTCTATGCATAATTACATAATACAAACTTTTTGTAGTCTTACTAATATAAAATTGTGGGTCATTTTGCAATATAACAACTACCTTGAATTCTTTTCTTTGGATGACAATTAGGATAAAACAGCAAAACAATGTGGTGTTTTTAATATAACATGAAAAATAGAGCTTAAGTTGAGGTACCTGGCTTGCTCCATCATCAGAGTGTGACTCTTGATCTTGGGGTCATGACTTCAAGCCCCATTTTGGGTGCAAAGTTGACTTAACATCTTTAAAAAAAAAAAAAAGAAAGAAAAAAAGAATGGAGCTTAGGAACAGCTGACCTCTTTTCAATGTGTCAATTCAAGATGACAGTGAAATCTTTTCTTCTTCGAAAAGGTTTCAGAGCTTTTGCCAGAGAGGTTTGCCGAGCAGCTAATCCGCGTATACTGCAAGAAGACTGATTCAAAGAGCTTGTTTGCTGCAAAGCAGTACTTTGTTCATTGGTGCTTAATCAATGACTTCACCAAGCCACAGGTGGGTGGTCTGTTGTCCACATGCTTTGCACAAGTTTCTATTTTTAATGAATAACCAAAAGAAATCTTTCCTTTCCTCTGAAAAGTTCTCATTTAAATGGTAGTCATTTAGGGGTGCCTGGGTGGCTCAGTTGGTAGAGCGTGAATTCAAGCTGGTCAGTTGGTCATTTTGATCATGGGTTCAAGCCCCACATTGGGTGTAGAAATTAAAATTTATTAAAAATAAAATTTTTAGGGGCAGCTGGCTGGCTCAGTCAGTTGAGCATCCAACTCTTGATTTTGGCTCACATCATGATCTCAGGTTCATGGGTTTGAGTCCAACGTCAGGGTCTGCACTGATATAGCACAGAGCCTGCTTGGGATTCTCTGTCTCCCTCTCTCTTTGCCCACCCTCTCGCACACTCACTCTCTCTCTCTCTCTCTCTCAAATAAATAAACATTTTAAATAATTAATTTTAAATATCTTTAGGTTTGCCTGAGTGGCTCAGTCAGTTAAGTGTCCAACTCTTGGTTTCGGCTCAGGTCATGGTCTCACATTTTGTGAGTTTGAGCCCTGTGTTGGGCTCTGTGCTGACCCCATAGAGCCTGCTTGGGATTCTCTCTCTCCATCTCTCTGCCTCTCCCCAGCTCGATCTCTATCCCTCTCTCTCTTTCTCAAAAATAAATAAATAAACATTAAGGAAGAAAACTCTAGGGGCGCCTGGGTGGCTCAGTTGGCTAAGCATCCGACTTCAACTCAGGTCATGATCTCATGATTTGTGATTTCGAGCCCCATGTCAGGCTCTGTGCTGACAGCTTAGTGCCTGGAGCCTGCTTTGGATTCTGTGTCTCCATCCCTCCTTGCCCCTCTCCCACATGTTCTCTCTCTCTCTTTCAAAAATAAATAAAACATTAAAAATTTTTAAAAAAGGAAGAAAACTCTAGCAGCAGACAGATTGGAACTAGGAGAGACTAGAATTAAAGAGACAAAAGGCTAATGAAGTTCAGCCATGTGGCGATAACTACTTTAAAACTATATACATTCACTCATTGAATGAGGATTTTTGCTAGGTCCTATGTTAGGTAGCAGAGATGGAACAGTTCTAAAGACATAGTTCCCACAGATCACACGCTGTTAACAGACGGCACAGGTAAATAACAATTACAGCAATGTGGTAAGTACTTTGGGGGTGGGGCACAGTGTGTACAGAGTCTTAAAGGAGCCAAAAGAAGGATTTAAGCCACAGTTGGTTCGGAAAAGATTATTTTAAGAAGGATTTAGAAGTTGAGACCTGAAGGATGGATGAGAAGGAGTCAGCTGGGTAAAGAGGGTGTAGCGGGGAGGCCAGAGGATGAGCAACAACATAGTGCAGTCAGGGGAGGGGTCCAGGGGACCCCTTGTAGGCCAAGAACAATGGAGGCCATTAGAGTGTCTTAAGCACAAGAGTGACACTCAAGTTTGTATTAATAAAATTCACTAGAGTTGAAATTAGAATGAGTAGAAATAAGGATGCTTGGTAGAAAAAGAGATGAATTTGAAGGCAAATAATGTTGACTTTGAGCTATGAGATCTTCCAGATAGGAGTGTCATGGCAATTGAATGGCTGCTTTTAGTAGCTCTATTAAGTCAGATCCAGAGTAGTTTGACAGGAGAAATTTAATAGCGGGACAAGATACAAAAGTTTTGGCAGAGCCAAATGAGCAGAGGATAGTGAGCCAACATCAGGAAGCTGCTACCACCTTAGGCGTGGAGGTGGGAGTCCAGAAGCTAGAGCCACAGAAGAGTCATGGCCACTGCTGCCAGTGCCAGAAGGGTTCAGGGCAGTGATACCCTGGCTTCTCTGTCCTCCTCCCTTCCAGTCTTCCACTTGTGCCCCCCCTTGGGCCAAACCGAGCTGAAAGCCAGTAGGCAGGGGACCTGGGAAACATAGTTTATAAGAGCAGTTCCTGTTGGGGTGGCTCAGTCTGCTAAGCCTCCGACTTCAGCTCATGTCATGAGCTTGTGGTTTGTGAGTCAAGCCCCGCATCAGGCTCTGTGCTGACAGCTCGTTCTCTCTCTGGCACTCCCCCACTCATGCTCTTTCTCTCTCTCAAAAATAAATAAACATTTAAAAAAACAAAAGCACCTCCTGTTATACAGATTAGAGCAGCGGAAAGGTGAAAAGTGGACCTGAGGGCACATGTGCAAATGAAGAGTACAATATTCAACACAGACATTATACTCCTAGTGCAGTAAAGGCTCTCAGAGACCCTGTACTCTCATACAACCTAAGAGAATCTATGAACAAGGTCACGAACAGTTTAGGATAGTCCGGTCTTAGAGGAGGGCCTTCTTACACTCATTTCTTTCAAGTCATAGTATCATTTCACTTTGAGGTCATTCCTCATTTTGGCTAGAATCTATGCTGATGGGCCAAAGTTGTACCTTTGCAGGAAAAAGTTCAAGTTCTGCACATATAAATTGCCCTTACCCTCCCCCTTTTTTAGGGTTTAAAACCTAGGGTTTTGTTTAACATTTATTCGTTTTCAGTTATTCATTTTCAAGAGAGACAGAGCATGAGTGGGGGAGGGGCAGAGAGGGAAGGAGACACAGAATCCGAAGCAGGCTCCAGGCTCTGAGCTGTCAGCACAGAGCCCGACACAGGGCTCAACTCACAGACTGAGCTGAGCTGAGCTGAATACCCTTCGGCGCCCCTCTCCTTCCCCTTTCTGCCCTCTTGTAGACCAGGACCATCTACTGCAGAGGGGATGAGGCAAGAGGGGAGCAGGGACCCAGTGAAGTCCCTCTTTCCTGGAAAAACAGAGTTTATGTTTTGTGAAAGTGTATGAAGAGAGAAGGTTATAGAACTGGGCAGTGTGTTGCTTCTGGTCATCTTTGAAAAGAATAAGCCTGGTAGCTTTTGCTACAAAGACTCTTTTTAAAAAAAATTTTTTTAATGTTTTATTTATTTTTGAGAGAGAGATAGAGATAGTGTTAACAGGGGAGGATCAGAGAGAGAGGGAGACACAGAATCCGAAGACAGGCTCCAGGCTCTGAGCTGTCAGCACAGAGCCCAACATGGGGCTCAATCCCATGAACCTTAAGATCATGCCCTGAGCCAAAGTCGGACACTTAAGGGATTGAGCCACCCAGGCGCCCCACCAGAGGCTCTTACCTGCTTAGGACTGTGGTATTTGTAATTGGACCCAAGCACGGGGCACATATGTAATTTGGGGTTTCCCAAGAGTGTATGCGTCTAGAAACAATCTATCTGCAAGGCAAGGATATGTGCACCTGAGGGTTTCCTCGAAAATTATGAAAATTGGATTTTATTTGTTCCTGGTTTTTCTTTCCTTGACAGGATGGTGATGTTGTGGCCCCACTTATAACACCTCGAAAACTGGAGTGGAAGAATACGGATTCAGCCCAGAGCCCAGCTCACCTCCAAAAAGTATCCAAATTGAAAGCCCGGCTTTTTACAGATGACTCTGTGTGAATGTTTGCAACCAGTTGTTTACGTAAAGTCCTCCTCCCCATCTCCCAACAGTATTAACTAATTTAGGGAATTCAGTCATGAACTCTACAGATTTGTGACGACTAGTGTTTTTTACATTTTGAATGTATACCCATGCTGAAGCTAAGTAGTTTTTATCTGAAGAAACAAAAATGAGGCAACTCTTGCTCTACATGCTATGTAGAGCCTATTTTAACATTAGCTAAAGCCTTTCTCCTTTATAGTCTATTTTCATAGAATAATTAGTTTTTTTTATGTACTCTGAACTCTGACATAATGATTGTTTTGTTTTTTTTTAACAAAAGTTTGGAAATGAGATAAGGTGCACATTGAAGTTTGAAGTTGGGATTGTCATAAACAGCCATAGTTAAGAACAAAACATAAAATCCTAGCCTCTTGAGGAGGTACCCATCACCTCAAATTTGAGGAAAATTCTTAAGTGATCTAAATATTAGTGAAAGACCTTCCCTCACCCTTTTAACCAGGTTGGACTAAACAGCAGGAGATGAGGGCGACAAGTGAGCTCCACCTCTTGGGTGAGAGTTCTGATTAATTATTTTAAAATATCTGAGGACTCTGGCCCCCTCTGAAGTGGGACATAAGATTGCCTCTCAGGAGACCTCTACCCCCAGTGGCAGAGGGATTCCCCAAACCAGGCTGTTCTCTGGGTCAGTTGCAGCCCCAGACCTGGGTAGTTTCTTCATCTTGATTACTCACTACCCATGTCCCAAGGGTTTTTTCACAGTCACTGCTCAGCCTGAAGAAGGCTCCCCTCCGGACTTCTCTCTGAATTTCTCTCGTAGGTGGATCAAAGGTTGTCACAGAAGCCTTTCTTAGGGCTACTCAGAGCTGGGACTTTGTTTTTGCTTCAGGGTGCATTTTATGAGTTTCAGAGCAAAGGCTGAGCTGCTTGAGATGAGATGAGTTATTATCCCTAGAATTCCAGGTTCCCCTTTGTAGCCCAGGACACCCCACGCTTGTTCTTTACCTCCTGTGGTGGTGTAGGCACCACTGTGGTTGACCAATTCTGTGCCGAGGGCACTCACCTCCACCTCCATATACACACTATTGCCAGTTCTGCAGAAATTCACCAGGAACAAAATTTGGAGTTAGAGCCATAGCTGGTGGTAGCCAGAGGGTCCTGTAGATGCAGGGCACTGGGGAATGGGAGTCGTAAGTCCTTAACATCTTGTGCTATGACACTCCCTTACAAAAGCCTGGGCTGGGATTGGGGAGCCAGCCCTGGCTCTGGGCAAGAACAAGTGAGAGGAAAGGAAGAACTCAGACCATAGGCCAGTGCCTGATCCGCAGTCTTTGAGAGCTGGTACCTTCTGCTATATAACCAGCTTCTGTTCTGTTGACCCTAGGGTGAAAAGTATTAGGAATGCCTGCCATTCTGTATTACCACCACCACCTTCTTCCCCCGCCCCGTGCGCCTCCCCAGCAGATGATCAAGAGTTGACCCTCATTCATAGGAGAAAAATTAAAACCATTCCCCACTCCACCATAGTGCTGTGTAGGTGAGTTATGTGGACATGTGGGTTCCTAGAAGCACAAGTGAAATCAGCCCTTGTACTGGGTCACATCTGTTTTGGCCAAGGTACCTCTAAAACATTGAGTAGGGGAGAACTATAGGGCTCAGACTTAGTGTATCCAGATCCAAGTTCAAGAATGTAATGTTTTTCTGCTAAGATTGCTTTATTTCTGGAACACTTACCTTTAAATCATTGTGGTTTACTCCAGAATGTTTTAGTTTCAATATTGTATCATTTTGCTGAGAAATAACTTGAATCCATTTTGTTTGCATCCTTTACATATACTCAGCTGCACTTTATGCTCTTTGCAACTGTTTTAATTATCAGAACCATGTGTCATTTACAAGGTTAAATTTTTCTTAAGAAACATTATGTGGAAACTAATTTGACAATAAACTATTTGTAAAAAAAAATTTTTTTTTCTTAAGAAATGCCTTCACTATTTGTTTAAAAACAGATTTTAACAACTTAACCTTTAGAGTTACTGAACTTTTGTCACCTTGAGAATGTAAGAACTGCAAGTTTAAGTGACTGGTTACTTCATTTGGATAAGGGAAACAGCTGCAATAAAGCTTCATGAATGTATCTCCATCTGGAAATGAAAGGTGTTTTCCTTAATGACATTCTCTCACACTTGTGTGCCCAATTTGGACCCTTTTGTACAAAGGAAATATGTCTAGGAATCTACCCAAATGTTTCTACTATGTCAGCACTATGCTGGGTTTGCAAGAGAGGGGATGATACTTAACAGGCCTTCATTCATTTGGTTTTCTGGCAGGAGGAAGGAATATAGATGTTTCTTCTTTTTTTTATCTTTATTTATTTTTCAGAGAGACAGAGTGTGAGCGGGGGAGGGGCAGAGAGAGAGAGGAAGACACAGAATCTGAAGCAGGTTCCAGGCTCTGAGCTGTCAGCACGGAGCCTGACGCGGGGCTCAAGCCCACAAACCGTGAGATCATGACCTGAGCTGAAGTTGGACACTGAACTGACTGAGCCACCCAGGCGCCCCTGGAGGTTTCTTCATTTGATGAGCTCTTGTGACGGGAAACACATCCTTCCTCCTCTTTCACCTGCACTAGGTTCCCATCTACAGAGATTCGACTTCTTTATCCAAATAGACATATTGTTCATTTGCTGCTTTCATATCTTCCTCATGAAATTAGAGATTTGCAAGCACCTAGCACACTGGTGGCAGGCAGAAAGCCCTCAATGTTCTAGAAAAAGGAACGTGATACTGGAGTCTATTAGTTTCACCAGTTGGGCCCAGGTGTCTGTGCTTTGACAACGTAAGTTAAAATAATATCTAAAGCATACAGAATAGAATCCCATTTTCTAAGACGTATATATCCATTGTCTATAATGTTCATGTTTTGGGGGGTGGTTGAATTTTAGGCAGTTTTAATTTTTAAAAAATTAATGTTTATTTAGTTTTGAGGGGGGAGGGGCAGAGAGAGGAAAACACAGAATCAGAGCAGACTCCAGGCTCTGAGCTGTCAGCACAGATCCCAACATGGGGCCAGAACTCACGAGCCATGAGATTATGACCTGAGCTGAAGTCAGACACTTAACCGATTGAGCCACTCATGCGTCCCAGGCAGTTTTAACTTTTTAAATGTCTTCTGGTTTTTCTACAATAAACATGTATTCATTGTATAATCTCTAAAGAAATTTCAGGGGGTGCCTGACTGGCTCAGTCGGTGGAACATGCAACTCTTGATCTTGGGGTCTTGAATTTTTTTTGGGGGGGATCTCCATCTTTTTTTTTTTAATGTCTTTATTTTATTTTGAGAGAGACACAGAGCAAGCGGGGGAGGGGCAGAGAGAGAGGGAGATACAGAATCTGAAACAGGCTCCAGGCTCTGAGCTGTCAGCACAGAGTCCGACGTGGGGCTCGAATCCACGAACCGTGAGATCATGACCTTAGCTGAAGTCGGACGCTTAACTGACTGAGCCACCCAGGCACCCCTTGGGGTCTTGAATTTTAACCTCATGGTGGGCATGGAACCTACTTAAAACAATAAATACATAAAAAGAAATTTCATGAGGGACTTTGTGCTGCTCAGATGAGGTGTGAGTGCCTTTCACTCCTTCTGAGTCACATCCCCAGGAGAACACTGCTTGTTGCCATGACTGTCTTGGGTCCCCAGGCCACAGGGAGGATTGCTTACAAACCATAGTCATCCAGGCTTCAGGGAAAATGGGCAGCCCTCTATAAGGAGGGTCTAGATGGCATTCATGAGCAGGTCTGAGCATTTGTTGCTTCTGGAAGCTTCCCACCATGGGAGCATCCGCTCAGGACCCAGGCCTCCAGCTCCTTGATGCAGAACTGCTCTCGCCGGGCCAGAACCTCATTGTTGAAGGTTGCGCAGGGGTGGCTTCCACCATGATACAAGTCTCCATCCAACCACAGTCCGAACTGACCACTAAAAAGAAGAGGAAAATCTCGGCATGGCTCACTCCTGGAGGTTGACCTTCCAGATCCACACCATCGGCCTGTGGCCACACCATGACCACAGCTCCATTTTGCCTGTTTCATCTTCCCTTAGGCTGATTTATCCAGAATTGTCGGGAAGTCCACATGTTGTTCCTCATAGGGTTTAGAGCATTTTTTTACAGTTAAATTATTTTAATAAATATATACAGTCGTATAACCATCACCACTGTCCAATTTTAGAATGTGTGGAACATTTTAAAGACGGTAATGCTTGGACACCTAGGTGGCTTAGTCGGCTAAGCGTCCGACTTTGGCTCGGGTCATGATCTCACAGTTGTGAGCCCCACATTGGGCTCTGTGCTGACAGCTCAGAGCCTAGAGGCTGCTTCAGATTCTGTGTCTCCCTCTCTCTGCCCCTCCCCTGCTCATGTTCTCTCTCCTCTCTCTCTCAAAAATAAATATTAAAAAAAAAAAAGAAATAAAGATGGTAATGCTTAACCAAAGGAATGAATCATAAGGCATGGATTCAACCCCCAAGACACCTCAGAAAGCGTTCACTCTAATGCCCTCATATGACAGCAAAGCAGGCTGGGGCTGGGAAGTGGTTACTGCAAATCCACAATGGCTGGTGTGTTCTCTGTCAAACCGGCTCAGTAGGGGCCCTTTAGGCAGCTGGGAGAGCAAAGAATTTCCTGGTCCTAACCCAACAATGCTTTCATTTTTGCCCTCAGGATAAGATTTTATTCTGCCTGAACTTGGAGATCTCACCAGGGGTAAGATTAACCCTTTCTTCCTAACCCACTCACACCCCTCAGCATGCACGCCCGCACCCACGCACACACGCTGGGTTCCTGGGCAGATGCCCTTCTTCCCCCAGTTATGTTCCCTGAGATTATGGGGCTGGAAGGTAAATGTAAGGCTCACCTACCCCTTGACTCTAGCCTCATCCAACCCTGCGGAATGCTGTTTCCCAAATCACAAGCATTCAGACTAGGCTGTCACCGACTGTATACACAGGCCATCCTTTCCTCTAGTGTTTACTTAGAGTAGGCTTGAGGGGGGTGCCTGGGAGACTGAGCAGCACCTGGGGAGTGTTGAAGGGAGAGGCCTGGAAGGGAGCCGCCAGCCTCACTTTATCTGGGGCAGCCTCACCCAGCGTTCCAGATGGGAGAGGGACCAGAACACAGACTACCCCGAGACTCCAGAGCCGGGGAAGACTGAGACACGCACCTGCCGCTGCCCATCATCAGTGAATCCAAGTCCCCTTTCACAAAGAAGGAATTTCTTCCTGTCCACTTGAAGACCTGGGGTGACAGGAAAAGGCTGGGTTATTGGAGGAGTCCTGACCTTGCAGTTTGACTCCACACCACTGGGGGGCAGTCGTTCCATCGTGGGCAGAACGGAACATCCAGGCCCAAGCCACAGCTAAGCGATAGGAAGTACCCTGGCCCCTAGACTCTTGAGTTTTCTTTCCATTCTTCCCCGAGGGGGCTCACCTCCTCTTGCCTTTCCACAAAATCCCACAACCCCAAAGCACCTCTGTTCTAGGAACAGACCAGAAGTGTCTAAAGCATCCTACTTCCAAAGCTGGAGAGAGGAGGGGGAAGGTCCAGGTCGGGAACTGGACCCTGATCTGCCATCCACTGTTTCCTCATGTCTCACTGAAGACTGACTGCCCTGTGCTGCCTCGT